AAACCTCATCTCTAATCCTCCGTAATCATTGCCTCCCTAGAAGAACTGGGGTGGCCGATCTCTTTTGAGCCCATTGGTCTCGTGTCCACGAAGCACAATGCCTTGCACGGCAAGCACGCTTCATGGTCGCGAAACATGCAATATCAGTGCGGGGCAATAGCCTGGCCCTGCTCATGACTTTGATGGTACTTTCGGCTGGAAAGTAACTGAGAACAAAAACCGGATTGATGAATTTCCGGAGGAGGATGGGATAGGAGGCGTTGGATTCTCTACCATGGTAGATATGAATGAAATGAAATGGATGTCTTGTTCCCTCGCTTCCATAACACGGCCTAGTTCTGATTGCCTGTGATGCGAGTGACTGATGCGTGATGACCTTTGTTTCCTTGAACACATAAAGCCATGACTTGGGAGGAGGGTTTCCAAGCATATAATACACCCTCGAGTGACAAGGACTAGAGGAAGTAGAATAAGTCTTTCTTTTCCACTTTCCAACACCAATTCTTCAAGACCCCTACATGAGTGGCTAAACTTGTCCAGGTTCTACAAAAACAGCCTTTCAGATGATGGCGCGCGTGGACTTTTCACCTCTCCTTTGTCTGGAGTATTTTCATCAGACTGCACGCACGCACATTCTGCTTCTGACCACTCTGATGAGTTATCCAAACAGTTGGTCACAGCTATACAAACACTTGAGCTGGTGAGAAAAGACAGTGTCAAAACGTATCGTATAATTGTGTGTTTACTCCTTGCATGAACGCGCGCGTAGTTTCAACTCCACAGAAACGCCACGCTACCAAGGACGGAGGGGACTGCCTGCCTTCTTGCTTTTGCATCCTGAATTTGCTTGCTACTCTTTTAGCTCTTGTCCTTGTGGCTCTTCTTCATTCCCAAAAAGTTGCGCTTCTTCTTCTCCTTCTCGCCCTTATGGGGCTTTCCTCCGTCCATCGGCGCTGGCGAGGCTGCCCCGTTCGATACCGGCGAAGGCTGGTTGAGGCTCATTTGGCTCATCTGAGCCGTCGGCGGCGCGACCGGGCGCCCTGGCAAGCCACCTGTCGGGGGTGGCCTCCGACCGCCAGCGGGCAGGCCTTGCTGTGGTGGTGGCGCCATGCCGGGCCCAGGGCGGTTAGCCATGGGATTCGGCGGCGGAGCGGGTCGCTCGTAAACCCATGCGGGAGCGCGGGGTGTAGGCCGTTCCATGGGAATGTCGAGTGCGCGCTTATCCTTAGTGAGATCACCTACCTGGCGGATGAAGAGTTGAGGGGTGAGCATGTGGCTTGTCGCCAGGAAGATGTCCTTGCTCTGGCGGGCAGAGACCTCGTAACATGCACGACTCTCACTGAACGTCGCACCACCAGCCATGAAGACGATGAAGCGCTGCCTGTTTTCCGGCGGCCGACGTCCTGATGATGCCCAGTTTGGCCTGCCTGCACGAAGCGATCCCTGCTGCGAAGCCAAAAGGTCCTCATTAGGGTCCAATGGCGGTTTCACGTAGGGGAACGTCGTCTGATCCAGTGTGCCGCGGCAGAGCTCTTCCAACATCGTCTGCATTGCGGTTTCGAAACGGGAGAGCGAATATTCTTCGCTGACCTCTGCAGACTTGGTGTTCTTCGGGAATAGAGGCGGCGGGGGAGGTCGGGTATCTTTCAAAGCATGCACGGGACGTCCTCCCAACATTTCAAGGTTGACCACCACCTCGCCGTCCCTTTGTGGCAGACCACAGTGTGCCAGAAGTCGGTTGATATCTTCCTGAATGACACCATCGCGGTACATGACATAGAGCATGATGAGTCGCAGTCGGTCGCTGGGCGTAACGGCATCATCGTCCAAGAGTCGCACAACCTGATCCAAGATGTTCTTGGGCTTCTTAAAATCCTCGTCCAAGCCCGTCGCAAGACTTTGTTCAACAGAGGCGATGTCCGGCAGCTTGTGGTGCTGGAAAATGTTCATGGCTTCTTGCGCCATGTTCAGATGGAGCGAGTAAGCCTCCTTCATTTCCTGGAATTGCGGCAGGCCAGCCAGCATGTCTCTGATGGCGTTCAAACTCGTCGTGTCCTGTTCGTCGTTGACGAAATGAGGGTTGGCCTCCAAGAACTTTCTGAAGTCTCCCATGAGCTTGTCGATGGTGTCCTTCATGTGTCGGTGTCGGTTGTCCACCCATACAGTGTCTTTGTCGGACAGCTCCATGTCCTTTTCCTCCACGTCTGCCGTTCCTTCGTTGGTGACCATGTGGTATGTCACCTTGTCGCCGTCTTTAATATCCAAGAGGTCGTGGGCCATTGCCTGGTAGGTAAACTCGTGTACCAGAGGGGCCATCAAATCCATCGATCTGTCCGTGATGATAAGGGTACCCGTCGGTCTCGATGTTTGCGGCGGGAAGTTCTGGTTCCATTGCGCATACTCGTCCAACTCCTCTTGGACGAAACGAGCAAGATGAGCGCAGAGCACGCTGGCCTCGTGAAGGGGGTTCTTCGGTCTGTAGTAACGAACTTTCGGGTATTCGCCCAGAGTGACGCAGACGCCGGTGATCTGGTTGGGCTCGTGAGCCAAGTGCACAACTTCTGGTGTCCCAATCAACCTACCTTTTGCGCGAGAATCTTCATGTGACGTGCAACGAGATTGTTGCACCCGGGGTGAAACAGGATCGGGAAGCTCCAAGGGTCTCTAAAGGTAACGAGGTGCGACTCGCGGGGGAAGAAGTCGATCGACAAGGTCTCGAAGCCGGCGATGCTCTGTTTGGCGCCCGGACAATTATCAATCAGGTGGCGGACTCGGGGCTCAAGAACACCGATCCAAACTAGGAAAGACTTCTTGTATCTGCGTCGCTCGATATCGTTGACGAGGATCTCGGCGATGTTCTCCTTGGGGGACAGAATGTAGATGGCGTCCATCTCGGGGTTCATGTCCCTCTTTTGTTCGATGCGCTCAATGTCTGGGGGCAGAGGTCAGGCAGGGCTCGTCGCAAAGAGACAGGGCGGGCGGATCATGGAGCAGCATACTGGCGATATTGTGGTTGAGGATGTCATCTTCCTTGACGACATTGTCAATGACTCTCTTGGAATCTTCGTCGAGTACTAGGACTTTCCACTGCAGGCGTCGTTAGCTTCGGGTGGCTTGTTGGGGATGGATCTAGAGGAGGGGTAGCTCACGTCGCCTCGGGTGATGTTCTTGATGGTGTCGATGACAACTATTTGGAGGGATTAGTTCCTGGACAGCGTAGCGGCAGCTGCGCGCGGGGGAGATCAAGCCGATCATGAGAAAATGCGTACCGTCGTGGAGCTCATGAAGCGTGGAGGCACCCATTGTGGCGACTTGCCGCGTGGGCAGCGGCTCGAGGCGGGATGCTGAGCGGGCGAGCGAGGTGAGTCGCGGTCGCTACAAGGCGGATCGTCGTGAGCTCGCACGCGGTGCAGAGCGACGAAGTGGTTGCAGTGCGCAGGTCGACAGGCTGGCGTAGAGCAAGCAGGTTGACGGGTTGACAGACGGGCGAGGCTGGAATGCGCGGTGCTGCGCTGGGTTGCTGCTTGGGATTCGGTGGTGGCAGGAGGATGGACGTCCGGGCGAGGAGGTGAGTTTCTGTCCAACTGGTAGGAGTTGCGATCGTCAGTGTCTGTGTCGCTGGCGTGGATTGTCTGTTTCTGTTGCGTTGCGGTGTCGAGCCAGCAAAGCGGACGTTTCTTTGGTCTGGCGGGGTTTCAAGATGGAGGGAGAACCGGTCACAGCGGTGGGACCCTCAATGCTCCGGACCAGCAGCAGCGACGAGGCAGGGTCAGGTCCGGTAAGGTGCTATGCCGTCGGGGCGATTCCTGCACGTTCTGCGAAAAGGTAGGGGAGGGTGGTCTAAAGTACCCTCTCAAATAGTGGTGGTGGGTGAGGTGAGTAAGGTAAGGTAAAGTAGGTAAGGTACCAAGTATGCACCTGCGGCGGGACACACCTTGAGGTCAGGTAAGGAAGTTCAGGTCAAGGTCAGGTAGCAAAGACGGGCACAGAGCAAGGAAGGTGTCCCAGTGAGGATAAGGATAGGGTGACCTGATCGCAGCAGCCGCGCTACCGCTACTTGCCCACGCGCTTCAAATTGAGTGTGCAGCCGCCGGATTGGCGGGGCCACCGAACAGGCCCCTCGCTAAAGTGGTCCCTATGCAATTCGATTTAGCGGCTTTCCCCCACCTTCGGCCCCCAAGGCCAGAACGAATGAGGTCACCGCCTTTGCATTCCTCACAACTACTCCTTTTGAAGAATTTAAGCAATACCGTAGGCCTCGGGAGATATTCTTGTCTTCGCATGGATGATGCTGTTTACGCCCGACAGTCCCCTGTATGTTTCACGACGGTCCGCTACCGATGCTCTCTCGATCATTCTCCTTATGCTTGATTGCTATTGTATGAATGAAACTTGCACACATGAGAGTCCACCTCCCCTAGCCTACCACTCTCTGTCGCATCTCTTCACGCCCTTACTTTACGCTTTGCCTCCAAAAAGCTAACAAACGGGCACGATCGCCGGTCCGCCAACCGCACCGATCGGCACGGCACGGACACCGGAGCACGGGTCTAGCTCCGGAATATTGTACGTCGTTGTTTTCCCCCCTGGTTAAATTGCGGGAATTGTAGATTTCGTAGTCAGTCCATATGTTTAGCCATACACTTTCTTTTTCGCGATATACTTCATGTTCACGGTTTAGCCTGTACATGCAAGCCAAACCTTACAGACCGTTGCCGATTTGCTACTATGAACCCATTTTTCACCGTCCGTTAACTCATATTCCACCATGCGGGTTCCAGGAATCACTGATAGGGCCGTATAGAGCCTTATTTGGCAAAAGCGATGGTACTCCTGCGATTTGTTGATTGGGTAGCCTCGTTGGGTGGAGGACCAACCCCTCAGCAGGCTGCCTAATCCTATGCATCCCACCAGCCTCTTATCCTTCCATGTTGATGACCACAACGGCAGCAGCAACAACGCTAGCATCACCTTGAGCCCATCTAATCGTTCAGCTTATCATGGCAGAAGTGGTGGGACTGGTATCTGGCATCGCCAGTCTGGTCGCCCTGGCCGTGAAGATCACCGGACTTAGCTGCAGCTACATCGCCGACACCCGTTCCGCACACAGCGCACAGAAGCAGTATCTTCGCGAAGTCAATCTGCTGACCGAAGTACTTCTACGAATTGAAGAAGTCTCCCAAAACCTCGAGAAAGATAACATTGCCTTCAACCGACCGAACGACTTGTTCAAGACCGAACTGGCAGAGTGTGCTGAAAAGTTGGGGAAGCTATGCTCCGAGCTCCAAAAGCCGTCACCCAGCATATTCTGGCCGATCCATGAAAGAACTCTGAAGAAACACGTGGAAGATCTTCATCGGTTTCGCGGCATCTTCGACAGCTTCCTGTCAGCGCAGTCGCTCACCATTGCAACTGCAACGCACCGAAACGTCTCACGCCTTGCTAGTCATCAAGACCAGACAGATCTCCTGGAATGGCTCGGCAATCCTACAGAAACCTCTAAACCCGTTCCCAGCCCCCTGATCGATACTGGAACCTGGTTCTTGAACTCGGAAGCTTACAAGCAGTGGGTAGATGGAAGCAAGCCATCGCTCCTTTGGTGTCATGGCCCTCCCGGCGTCGGGAAGTCGATGCTCGCGGCTGTGGCTATTCAAGATCTGGGCGCTCGTGCAGGCCCTGTACCAGTTTTGCATTACTTCTTCGACTTTGGGAACCGAAAAGAGCAGACAAGGGAAACGATTTGGAAGGACCTGCTGCGACAGGTCATCGCCAAGGGAAACGCCTCTACGGTCCAGAAGCTCGTCAGTTTTCGAAAGGAGTTGGGTCTTCATCGCCCCGCCAGCTCGAAAGACTTCTCCGATGCCTTGAAGATCGCCTGCGCGGATCAGCAATTTGTTCTGGTTCTCGACGGTTCCGATGAAATGGAAACCTCGAGAGAACTCAAGACCATTTTGGTGCCCTTTGCCAATGCTAGCCTTCTAGTCACCAGCAGAGACACGCCAGAGATACGTTCCACGTTGAGTCAAGCTACGGCGATGGAGGTGAGAGCTGATGCTGACGACATGAGGGCCTATGTAGCCTCTCGACTCGAGGAGCACGATTTGGATGATTTGATCGAGAAACACTCCGGGCTGGAGAAAGAGATTCTCGAGAAATCTCAAGGAATGTAAGTGAAGGCACGACCTGGTTCCAGAAGGCTCTAACAGATCTCAGCTTCCTGCTTGTCCGGCTTCTGGTCGACCAACTTGTCGACCTCAGTACTGTGAAAGAAATGCGAAAAGCCCTGCAGGTGTTCCCGACCCACCTCGACGAGGCCTTCGAATCGAGTCTTCAGAGAATCAACGCCCAGTCTCAATCACACAGCGCTCTCGCAAATCGGGTCATGGGGTGGATCGTCTCTGCCGAGAGGAAGCTTCAGATGCCAGAGCTCGCTCACGGCCTCGCCACTGAAGAAGGTTTTGATGTGATCGACGAAGAGAACTTGGTATCATCCAAAACTATCCTCAAGGTTTGCGGAGGACTTGTTGTTCTTCAAGGAAGCGCAGTCAGCATGGTGCACATCACCGTTCATACTTGGCTGCGCAACCGATACGATGGCCTATATCACAAAGACCTCGCAGAATCATGTTTGACATATCTCACCATGACCTCGTTCTCAAGCGGAGCTGCTCAAAGCTTAAATGAGATGGACAAACGCTTGAGCACCTTCCCCTTTTTCTCTTACGCCGCTCAGTGTTGGAGAAGGCATCTCACCAAGGCAAAAGATGCCAGAGTTGTCAAGTCCATTGACCAATTACTAAATGATTCCGGACTTCGGTCCGCTGCTTTCCAGGGCGCAAATTATAAGAATAATTTCAAATGCCCAGTCATCAGAGAGGCAGTGCTTGAGACAATGCCTCAAGGTCACTCAGCCCTGCACTTTGCTTCGTACTGGAACCTGACCGAGATGGCTGAGAGGCTTCTGTTGAACGGAGAGGAAAAGAATGCCATGGACACACAGTCATGGACCCCGCTGCATTGGGCTTATTTTGCTCAAAGTCAGGAAGCTGTTGAGACTCTAATTTCGCATGGAGCCGACGCTAATGCAAAAGATTCAGTCGGATGGACCCCCCTTTTTTGGGCAGTCCTAAACGGCGACATAAGGGCGGTAAACTGTTTGCTTCAACACCAGGCAAGATACACTGAACGCGACATCCACGATTGGACAGCTTTGAGGTGGGCAGTGGCAAGTCTACAGATTGATATTGTCAAGATTTTGCTCAAGCATCACACCAAGCTGACGTCGCAATCCAACGACAGCTTGTCCATCATCAAGCACCTCAGCCTCGACGAGGCACGCGCTCATATTGCTTCATATCCCCAATACAGCAAGCGGGACATAATTGATGAATTAGAGGCCACCTTTGCAGATTCAGATGGATACGCAAATGAGTATGACGACCTTCTCCCTATTTTCCAAGAAACATCCTTCGACAGCACTTGTGGAGAAGTGGACGCTTTGATCCCCCTACTGGAAACCCATGGAGATGTCGGATGAAAGAACACTTGCGTAGAAGTACAAGGCATTCTTGTGACTACGATGAATCTGAATCGGAAAGCGAGATGTCAAAGCTGTGGAAGTCAGGAATGTTACAATCCGCTATCAGAGATGGGAAGCTTCTCGCTGTACGGCTCCTACTAGAAGCCGGCGCGGAGGTAAATCAGGAGGCTAGGCAAACACCTTTGCATGCGGCGACATTCAAAAAGGATACCCGTTTCGCGGAGATACTCATTCAGCACGGAGCTCATATGGAAGCCCAGAACCACGACAAGTTAACACCGTTGCAACAGGCAGTTATGAATGGCTTCGTGGAAGTCACTAGGCTTCTGCTATCGAACGGCGCAAATGCGAACGTCGTATGCATGGGCGATCCAACAGAAGTGTTCATGCGTCTACAGAACAGAGGTAGCATAAGGAGGGACCCCTATGCTGCCGCAAAGACTCCTTTGATGCTCGCTTGTGGTCTCAGTCCAAACGAAAGCGATCCTGACCTCCCAGTTCGGATGGTGCAGTTGCTCCTCGAATATGGAGCCGATCCAAATGTCGAGGGCAACATAGGCGAAAACATGACCGCCTTCCACTGTGCGGCTCGGGCAAGAAACCCCACTATTTTAGAGCTGCTTTTCGATGCTGATACCAATGTTGGCGGTCGTGGCAAAGGTCTTGAAGAAGCTGGAAAAATGCGAGTATACCAACTCCTCTTCAAAAGCTCTGATGTCCCAATGGCGTCCTTTGATCTGAGGGGACATTGCATTCCGGGGAGGCGCGCAAAATGCTTTCATATTCTGGTCCAAAACTTTGGTCGAGCATTTTTCAATCAACATGCGCTCTCTTTTGCTGCAGTACACGGAGACTGGGAGATCTTCCAGACACTTCACTCCATGGGAGCAAGTTTTGAGACGAACACCCCTCTCGGAGATTGTCTAGGTAAAGCGCTTCGTGAGTTACACTTGCAAGCGGCAGTGATACTAATAGAGAACGGTGCCTGTGTTTCATCTGGTGACGAGGCGTCCGGGTCATCAGCCACAAGCTGTGAATGGATTCGTACAGTGTTTCTTTTCTCCAAGGATCACGAGATCACGCACGATGAGATTGATCGATTCAGGGGAACCATGGAGATGCTCATATCGCATGGATTCAATATCAACACAACTGGCAGTGATAATTGCACGCTTCTACATCACGCTATTCAGAAAGGATCGCCTGAGCTCGTCGAATGCCTCCTGGATATTGGAGCCAACCCCTACTGCGAAAACAAAGACGGAGTTGACTCATTCTTGTTGGCTTGTATAGGCCAACAGCTTGCTTGTCTGGAATACCTGCTTAGGTATACTGAGAAACACACCCCCGCGAGCCACTGGCGACAGCATCTTGGTATACCAGCAATTGAACGGAACTGCGATCTTTATGCTGCAGTCAGTAAAGCCCTCAAATGTGCTGGGCAGATGAATAAACGATGTGGAAATGAAACCATGCTTTGGACAGCTGCAAATTTGGAGAACTGGGCCTTTGTCGAAGAGCTGCTGATATGTGGTGCGGATTCGGAAGCACTAATACTCCAATCTGCAGCTGAAAAAGGATGCGAATCTGTCGTCAAGCTCCTGATAGACTCTGGTAATTGTGCCAGTATACTCAATGAGCAAGTGCAGACACCGCTTCATCTTGCCGCGAAGAACGGGCACACATCCGTCGTCAAGGTTTTGATAGACTATGGCGCTGGTCTGGATGTTACAGACAAGTTGCAAAACACGCCCCTCCACCTTGCCGCATACACAGGATACCAGGGAATAGTGGGCTTACTACTATCATGCGGCGCTGATCCCGATGCAGCTAACCACCAAGGGTGGAGGCCACTTCATGCCGCGGCATGGCGTGGCCATACGGAAGCTGCCCAGTTACTGCTACAGGCTGGAGCTGATGTAGGGGCGGCTACTTTGAGATTTTTTGAAGCCTTCGAAATAGGGTTTTTCAGACACCAGGATGTGGCTTGGGCTGGAACACCTCTTCACCTTGCGGCCATGGCTGGCAGCGTTGAGATGGTTCGACTGATACTGCAAGAAAAGGTTGACGTTAACGCAAGGACGAACTCTTTTGACAATGAGGATGAAAAAGGTCAACCCACAAACACACCCAAACTTGGCCCTACGGCATTGCATATCGCTCTTGGCACGCAGAGCTGTAGGGGTCGGAAGTGGTACGAATTGGACGGGAGATGGCCTGTGTTTTCCCCTTTTGAACGTGGTGCAAGCGTCGAATTGGACAAGGGAAGGTCGGAAATTGCCTCTTTGTTGATCGAGCGTGGTGCAAATGTTGACGGCGTGGCGAATCACTTGCAGCTCAAAGATGTTGCAAAGTTTGAGGGCTTCCCGCAGTTATGGGACAAGCTAAGAGTCGGCATCACTGTCACTGATTAAGAGGACAACCTATGTCATCACGAGACCCTCTATTTGTTGTCCCGTGCTAAAGCGACTACTTGATTTTCCTGTCGGCTTATACATACTCTCTCTTAATGTCACTGTCATTATCGCTGTCGTCGTCATCATCGTCGTCGTCGTTACCCGCTCTATTATCATGTTTACCCCGTCCCCTATACTATCAAATTTCTACTAGGTATTGCCGTCCTCGATTGAAGTAATCAAGTAGATAAGAAATGTAGCAGCGCATAACCAGGAGAATTAGGCGATCTGCTCATCGCCGCATCAAGTTCATACAGTATTTCATTTGCCTGAGCTGAATTTGTCTATTGGGTATCATTCATCGACCAGTTCCAAGATATCGATCCATATCTTCGCTTCCATAAAACATCTGCCTCAACTTCTCGGCTTTCTTTGTGTCTTCATCCGCCTGCTTTCGACACTTCTTCGCATCCAGCGTCTGGGGCTTCTTCTTCTCGACTCTCCCCGCTAGCGTCTTCGGAATCTCTAGTCCCAAGCCGTACTTGTCTTCCTTCTGTTTAGTCTTGATAGGATATTGCATACCCTGTCCCGCTGCACCAAGGCCCTTCCGTGAGTCTGGATCCCAGCCGTGCGAAGAGAGGTACGTCAAGCCCATGCGCGTGCGGTCCAGCGCGGACGGCGGATGTGAGTGGGTAAGGCACACCTGATGAGCGATAGATGACTCATGCTTCTGTCGTGCCGTAACATCCTTCTTCCCGTTTGTTTCTTTATTTAGTTGCTTCACGGCTTCTTCTTCGAGGGGCAAATCGCACACGGCGCACACCTGCGCCTCCGGTGCTGGAGTTTCCTCGGACTTCTTGGGAAGAACTAGGCTGAGGTAGAAATCCCCTATTGATGAGCCTGACTTTGTTTTCTTCTCAGGTTTTGTCGTATTCAGTGTCGGGTCTGATGCCTTGACGAACTGGATAGGCTTCCGCGGGATGCCTGCGCCAAACGGCTTTTTGTGGTGGAGCGGCACATCGTAGTCTTCATCGTATTCTTCGTCTACATCGTCCGGTCTCTGCATCTGCGCCGCCATCGCACTAATGAGTCTCACTCCTACCCAGAAATCACTGTCAAAGGTGATGGACTTGAATGTGCTGGTGCTGGGGATATAAGATGAGAGGGTGTAGATGGGGAAAAGGTTGTCGTTGAGGCCAGTCCATATCGAAGCCTAGGGGCAAAGGTTACGTAAGCCGGCTGATGTGCCGTCCATCCATCCCCTGCAGCTGCCGGCAGGGGCGGGCCTGCCCCTGCTGCAATTCGGAGGCTTCCCCTGACTCCCCTGAGGGCACGTCAATAATTCCACTTTTTCTAGAAACCAAGGAAGCCCAGCAAAGTGGCCTCGTCACAAGCCTTTGCCTAGCTTCCACAACGAAGCTTTGGGTGCGATGCTCAACTTCTGAACCCTTTACGACCAACCTCACCTCCGAAAGCCCACTCGTTCGCCATGCCCATCGACTACATCGGCTACGTCTTCGCCGCCGGGCCCCCGGCCTGGGCCGTGGAGAACTGGTGGTTCATCCTCAAGACGACCACCGCCGTCGCCGTCCTCACCTTCATCAAGCTGTACTGCTCCGGCGCCAGCAACCCCTCGGAGCGGGACATGCACGGGCGGGTGGTCATGATCACGGGCGGTACGTCAGGCATAGGGGCCAGCACCGCCTACGAGCTCGGCCGGCGCGGCGCCCAGCTTGTCCTACTCACGCACACGCCCGTCTCGGACCCCTTCCTCGTCGAGTACGTCGGCGACCTGCGCGCCCGCACCGGCAACGAGCTCATCTACGCCGAGCACGTCGACCTCGCCTCCCTCCACAGCATCCGCAAGTTCGCAACCAAGTGGATCGACAACTCCCCGCCCCGCCGCCTCGACATGATCGTTCTCTGCGCCGCCACCGTCACCCCGCCCGGCACCGCGAAGCCGCGCCTGACCCCCGAGGGCCTCGAGGAGACCTGGATGGTGAACTACCTCGCCAACTTCCACCTGCTCTCCATCCTCAGCCCGGCCCTCAAGGCGCAGCCCTTCGACCGCGACGTGCGCATCCTCTTCACGACGTGTCCCTCCTACATCGGCTCGCCGCCGCTGACCGACGGCGCCGCCCTGAGCAAGACGGCCTGGTCGCCCGGCGCGGCGTACAAGCGGAGCAAGATGGCGCTGATGGTCTTCGGCCAGGCGTTCCAGAAGCACCTCGACGCGTACAAGCGGCCGGACGAGCTGCCGATGAACTCGCGGGTGGTGTTTGTGGACCCGGGATACGCGCGCACGCCGGGCATGCGGCGGTGGCTGTCGCGGGGCTCGCTCTGGGGCCTGTTCGTGTACCTGGCGGCGTATTTTGTGCCGTGGCTGCTGCTCAAGAGCCCTGACCAGGGCGCGCAGTCGTTGCTGTTCGCGGCGATGGAGCCGGGCCTGGCGCGCGGGAAGGGCGGGAGACTGATCAAGGAGTGCCGCGAGGTGGACTTTGCGCGGAAGGACGTCCACGACGAGGAGGTGGCGAAGAAGCTGTGGGAGGAGAGCGACAAGCTGATTGAGAAGACGGAGAAGGAGCAGGCGCTCGTCAGGGCGAGGCAGAAGGCGGCGGAGGAGGCGAAGGCCAAGGAAGCAAAGGAGGCGGAGAAGGTGCAGGAGGTGGAGGACCTCGTGAATGCCATCAAGAAGGGCAAGGAGGCGCAAAAGTCCAAGGGCAAGAAGAAGACCAAGAAGGAGACATGAAGGAACTGGCGCTCAAGACTATATTAGATCCAATTAATGACAAAATATTAGAGCTATGATTGTCTGGCTACGTACTGAGCATGGACTTTGTCGCTGCAGACCTGTGTGTCGCGTGCCTCGGCTGCTCACCCGTTCTCCAAAACCCGCGGCCCCACCGAAGCCGAAGCGTCGGCTTTCTCAGCGAGCTATCGCACGGCCGATCCGGGGGGTTGGGTTGGGGTAAGGGGGGCGCAACCTTTCCCCGCAACATGAAAGATGACGACAGACCCTATCAAGGGGTTCTTCATGCCGACGTCGAATTTGCGAAATATCCTAGATTCAACATAGTTACACACATGATTTGCGGAGCATGTCGAACTCTGCCACGCCGCCAGCCATGACGAACCACACCGCAACGATATCGCGGCTGCTGCCTCCGCCAGCGCTGCTGCATCTCCAGCCACCAGCGCAGCACAACGCGTCCGTCAGGCATCCCGTCTTTTTCACTGAGAAGCTGCGGCGGCCGCCATTAGTTCTGAGCCCCGGGATGGGGATGAGTCCGGTGGCGCACGGGTATGTCTACCAGGATGGCAGGAGGGCGGACGGAACGTCGGGGCCGAAGTTGTGAGAGGTTTTGATGAACGATAAGTCAGGCGAGATGTGTGTAAGTCAATCCAGGATGCGAAGAGGGGGCTGTTAAATTGACTGTGCCGTTGATCCGGCTGGCAGAGCTCATCACCATCATCGAGAGACTTGAGAGTGGATGAGGAATGCCCGGCTAGCCTACCTTTCATCCGGCTATAGGTCGAGGGCATCGTGGAGTTGATCAACTGATCAAAGGGACTCAATGGAAGGGCTGTGAAGTGTATCGTGGCCTGATGAGTTCATATGGCGATGCTCATACAGGGTCAATGTTTGGCGTTGGGGTTTGGGCCGGGTTGTTGTCACATGTAAACTCAACCAGTCGTTGTTCTTGCTGTATTCGTCTTCTTCATCGTCCACGTACTGTCATCGTACATAGACGTCTGTTATAGGAGCGCCCACTTTCTCAAGCTTACCATTCGAGAGCACACATGGGGTCAATTTTCTGCCGCATATCTGCTGGCTGGTCTGTTCAATGTTGATGCCTATTGCGCCAAGTCGTGATGAGCCCACAGCTGCATTGACACTGCCAATTCTGATGGGAGCAATCCGCGTAATCCGCGTGGCCAGTTTGCCTTGGTGTATCTGCCGAAACCAGGGTCTTGTTTATCTAGTACTTTTGTAGCAATGGTGCAATTTTTCATTTGCCGGGCCACGCTCTTAAAATCCTCACGAAGCAAACTTCAACATGGTAAGCATAGAAAATCATATGTATTCGGATGTGGTCCAGCAAAGCCACAAACGACAGACCCAGGGAATCATTACCACAGGTAGCGCCCTCGAGGTGGTAGTAAGGATAAAAAAAGAAATTAGAGCCTCCCTGTTTTGCTTCCCAAAAAAAAGTAGTGTTGCTTCCCGTTTTCGCCATTCAAACCATGTGCCCAATCTGGAGAGGATACAATTCTCTAACACCATCGAAACAAGCGCCATTCACACCGCGCATACACGCAATCGCGCGCGTTACCCCCCTAGTACCCCTCAATTCTTCACCGCAATGACAATCGCCATGACGATGAGGATGACGACCAGTGCGAGCAGCGCCATCAGCTTGACGTTCTTCCACCACATCTTCCTCTTGAGGCCGCGGCTGCGCACGCGGAACTCGCGCGCGCTGCCGCCGAGGCGGTCCGTCTTGTCGACGAGCAGGTCGATGCGCTCGCCGCGCTCGAGCAGGCCCTCGATGTTGCGGGTCATGATGCCCCTGACATCGTCGATCTCGCGCTGGACGTTGGAGATGGCGTCGTCCTTGCCGCCCGAGGTGGTGCCGTAGTCGACCATGAACTTCTTGAGCTGGCCGTTGTAGCTGGCGGCGCCGTAGTTGGGCAGCTCGGCATAGTCGGTGGAGTCGGCCGGGAACTGCTCGAGGAAGCGGCGGCGGATCTCGAAGAGGAAGCCGAAGGGGATGCGGCGGCCGAGGGAGGCGTCGGCGATGACGAGGAAGGTGAGCCCGCCGGCGGAGGGGTGGTCCGGGTGGTCGGAGGGGGCCTCGGCGATGTAGTGGATGTGGTGGGAGCCGTGGGTGTAGGTCAGCTTCTGGGGGCTGCTGTGCTCGATCTTGGGAAGGATGAGGGAGGCGAGGGAGGAGGTCTGCGACGAGGCCGACGTCGTGCATTCGGAGAGGATCGTGTTGTTGTGCGCTATGCACGAGCTGGATTTGATTGTGGTCAGCTTGAATGCTTGGTGGTAGCTGTGTCGCAGGAATTGCGGTTGTCGGCGACTCACTAGAGCAAAGGGGTGATGGGCGTCGACGAAGAAGCCATGGCGATTGATACGGGGCGACCCGGAGAATCCTTGGACGTTATCTTCAGGGTATTCTTCGAGCTTTGTAGTGCCGCGAAAAGGGTCCAGGCAGCTGTATTCGATGCGACGGGGTGGGATGCGTACGTAGGTGGTGGATAGGAAGCGAGAGTCGGGCGTCGGGGAACGGGACGGTGATGGGCGCTTGTCGCAGAATGGCAGCGACGACGAGGGAATGGAATGCGTGATGACGACGGTCAATCGGAGGCGGATGCGCTAGACCGAAGTGGGGCGCCCCGTAACCTTCAACACAGGGCGAATCAGAGCGCTGGTTGATAAGGCACAGCGGCAGGGGGCGCATTGGTTATCGCTCCCAAAATTTCCATCACCACTTCGTACGCGGGTTCCATTCAGTCAGAGCTTTCTGGCGTGGAGGCGAAGGTGGGCTGTCTGCCGTCTCCGATTTTGCCTCTCTGCACCAACAACATCCAAAAACCGCGGCATGTTCTTTGCATGTCGCCGGCCATGCTTCTTTGGGTAGAAGATAAGCCACCATGAGAGCGATTTTGCGAAGCGCGACTCTCTCCGCGGCGAGGAGTCGTGTTGCGCCCAGCCATGGCTTCGCAACGTCTTGCCCGGCCGCATTCAAGGTAAGAAAGACAACACACCCTATCATACTCCTTCATATTCCCCAGGCTGACTTCTGAGAAGCAATCGCTTCCGAATCTAAGATCTGCCCGGCAACACAACAAATACCAGGCCAACAGGAGCAAGAACTACGAAACTTTCAGGACCATGATCCAGTCCCAGTTCAACGTTGTCTTGAGGAACATGGGCCCCTACTCGGACACGAATCCCGAGTACCGCGACTTTGGCATCAAAAGCGAGACTGGGCTCAACAACGAAGTTCAGCTATTCCGCGAGACGATACAGAAGTCAATACACATGGCGAACAAGGGCTCGACGTTGCGCAAGGAGAACCCTCTGTTCTGGACGCTGCGGAATGCATTCGTCAGATCAGACGTCAAGGGGCTCACGTCAGAGCTGAAGTACTCGTTTCAGAGCTTCATGATGCGTCAAAAGTTGACCAAGGTGACGCCGAGGCAGAAGAAGCTGGCCGACATGCGCTTCCCCATGGAGTGGTTTCCCGCCACGCGCGCGATGCAGCGCACCATCCACCTTCACGTTGGACCGACGAACTCTGGAAAGACGTACAGGGCGTTGAAGGCGCTGGAGAACGCAAACTCTGGAATCTACGGCGGGCCTTTGCGTCTGCTGGCTCACGAGATCTACATGCGGTTCCAGAACAAGGGGAAGCCATGCGCTATGGTCACGGGAGAGGAACAGCGCATTCCGGAGGACGAGGACAACTACTTCATCAGCTGCACGGTCGAGATGACGCCGCTGAACCGAATGGTCGACGTGGCGGTCATTGACGAGATCCAGATGATTGGCGACATGGATCGAGGCTGGGCGTGGACGCAAGCTTTGCTCGGCGTCATGGCCAAGGAGGTCCATCTCTGCGGTGAAGAGCGTGTTGTTGACCTGGTCAAGTCGATCTGCGCCAGCATCGGCGACGAATGCATCGTCCACAGGTATCAGAGGTTGAGCCCACTCGAGACAATGAAACAGAGTCTCGACAACGACCTGTCCAAGCTGCAAAAGGGAGATGCTGTCGTGGCATTCACCCGAGTCAACCTGCACGGTCTGAAGAATGCCATTGAAGAGAAGACCGGGCGACGCTGTGCTATTGTGTACGGCTCCCTGCCACCCGAGACCCGAGCCCAGCAAGCCGCCCTGTTCAACGACCCGGACAACGACTACGACTTCCTCGTGGCCAGTGACGCTATCGGCATGGGTCTCAACCTCGAGATCAAGCGAGTCATCTTTGAAACCGCAACCAAGCACGATGGAACACAGTTCCGTGTGTTGAACACGTCTGAAATCAAGCAGATTGGCGGCAGAGCAGGCCGATACAAGACTGCCAGACAAGCCACTACCAACGACGCCGGCACAGATACGACTGCGGTTGCTCCAGTAGAAGAGAAGAAGATGGGCTACGTGACAACACTAGACCCTGACGACTTGCAGACGATCCGCCAAGCCTTCCAAAACGAAGCCGAACCCCTGGAGACGGCGGTCATTCACCCGCCAGCCTTCGTCATCGAACGCTTCTCCGAGTACTTCCCGCCCGACACGCCCCTCAGCTTCATCCTCCTCCGCCTCCGCGAACTCGCCCCCGTCTCGGAGCGCTACTCCGTCCACGTCAACGAGCGGTCCATCGAGATCGCCGACACCATCCAGGAATTCCCCATGACCGTCCAGGAGCGCATCACGATCCTCAACGCGCCCGTCAACAAGGACAAGGGCCAGAAGGAGATCGTGCGCGCCATCGCCAAGCGCATCGCCACGCGCCGCAACGGCGCGCTCTACGACATCAAGGAGATCCCGCTCGAGCTGCTCGACGCCTCCATCGACGACATTGGCCAGCAGGACGGCAGGAAGTACCTGCGCGCCATCGAGACGCTGCACCAGGCCATCACGCTGTACCTGTGGGTCAGCTACCGCTTCCCGAGCATCTTCGTCAGCCAGACGCTGGCGTTCCACATGAAGGACTTCGTCGAGGAGAAGATTGCGCACTACCTCGCGACCAACACCGTCTTCCAGACCGACATGAACCAGCAGCTGCGCGACAACCAGCGCAGGCGGGCGCTGAAGAACCAGTCGGAGAAGGACAGGCTGCGCATGGAGCGCGACGAGCTTGAGGCCATGGAGAAGGCCAAGGTTAAGACGCCCGCTGTGGAGGTTGACTCGTGGGTTGAGCCCACGCCGGAGGAGGAGCCCCTCGTCGGCGACGAGAAGGAGTACGAACAGCTCGACGAGCAGGCGACGAGCGACGAGAACTGGGACAAAGTGGACGAGAAGCTGCACGACTCAGAAAGTCACGACCGGAGAGAATCACCGTCAGCCGGTTGAGATCCTTCTGTAAATCATACTGTAAAACCATCCATATAAATCACATAGACGGGGAGCGGACGAGTGGCATTCAACGGCGCAAAAAAGGGATGGGGACGCCTTTTGGGTACGGTACGCAAGAACTTTAAATCAACGCTGGCCATATGAAGGAACAAGCGCCGCTCTAGAATAGAACATGTTCATGACAACTGCTCGCCTCCTTGAATGCGCTGTGTCATCATGTTCGTTTGTTGACAGGGGAGGGTCTCCATTAAGCCGGAGGTGAGGTACCCCAAGCTCCAACACCCCGCACTCAAAGCTCAGGCTGCAGCGGTTATCTCACCGACCCCACCATACCTTTCGGCTCTTAGACCTTGGTTCTTGGAGGGGCAAACAGCTTTCCCATTCTCCAATCTACACCTCCAAACGCACCTTCACAACCCCTCGAAACCCGCTTTCCAAACCATCGTAAACCTCCAGACATCAGAACCTCAGAGCAAAAGAAAAGACCGCCCAAAATGTCGTCCACAAACCCAGACCCCTCCGCCTCCGCCCCGGCCTTCATCCCCCTCGAAGCCAACCCCGAGCTCATGACGACGCTCCTCCACAAGCTGGGCCTGTCCCCCGCGCTCGCGATCCACGACGTCTTCTCCCTCACGGACGCCGACATGCTCTCCTTCATCCCGCGGCCCGCCCTCGCCGTGCTGCTCGTCTTCCCCGTCAGCGCCGCCTACGAGAGCCACCGCCTGGCCGAGGACGCGCTGCTCGAGGAGTACCAGGGTAAGGGCCCGCAGGAGCCGGTGCTCTGGTTCCGCCAGACGATTCGCAACGCGTGCGGGCTGATGGGGCTGCTGCATGCGGTTAGCAACGGGCCTGCGAGGGAGTATATCCGTAAGTTCTTCTCGATATCTGCTGCGCGAGTTGGAAAGAAACAGATGTGCTGATGAATGCTCGTGATGGCAACAGAGAAGCCCTCCGATTTAAACACACTGCTCGAGAACGCCGAACCCCTCGACCCCGTTGCCCGCGCACAGCTCCTCGAGAAAACGCCTGCGCTGGCCACGGCGCACCGCGAGGCGGCTTCACAGGGAGCGACGGAGGCCCCGCAGGCCGCGGACGATATCGATCTGCACTACGTCTGCTTTGTGCGCGGCAACGACGGCACGCTGTGGGAGCTTGATGGACGGCGCAAGGGACCCCTCGCGAGGGGCCAGTTGGAGGAGGGCGAGGATGTGTTGAGCGAGAAGGCGCTTACCTGGGGACCGTTGAAGTTCTTGGAGAGAGAGGGTGCCGATTTGCGGTTTAGTGCTGTTGCGCTGGCTGGTTCTATGGATTAAGCGGTATCTGGCTTGGAGCACGACGTTGGCAAGGATGGTAAAGAGCTAGAGTGGAATGGTAAATCGGATATGGCGTTTAGGAATCGAGTTGACCAGGTCACGGCACGCAGTCTCACGCAAAAAGGCACGCTAAGGGTGAATAGCATTGTTTGTTGTATTGGTACTAGGGAAAGACTATTCGAATCATAGGTATTTCCTCCTCATCCCATGCATTCTTGGGCCTCGGTGGGTGTCATCTACTCCTTCGGGGATTCGCAAGGTGGCGTTGGTGCGTGGTGGGGATCGGTTTTCTCTGGACACTTATCTTGACACTTGTCGACTGTCTTCTGGCCTTTGTCTTCTTGGCCCTGTCTCGGTACGTCGTCTCCTTGCTTCTCAGTCGGTACGAGAGGGCTCAACTTCGAGAAATCAGAGGACGGCTTCCCGCGTTTCGAGCTCCGTTTCTGCACTCGCTGCGAATTTTGGGGCATTTTGCCACTTGTCGGCTTGCGTCCCTTCTGATCCTTGCGCGTATTGCGGTCTGGACGGGCGCTTCCAGCTACGGTAGAGTCCGACTCAGACTTGGACCCAGAAGCTGATAATGCCGTTAGATATCAATCTCATCAACGGAGCCGCGGTGACTTACATCTCTGCAGGAGACCCTTGAACATTCGCGCCACCTTCTTCTGGGTTTGGAACTCCTCTCTACCGATGGCCTTGAAAGTAGTAACTGCATCACCAGACGTCTCCTTCGCTCTGCCTTTGGCAGTCGTAAATGCATCACCAGACTTATCCCTCAGATCACCAGACTTCTCCTTCAGACCGTCAGACATCTCCTTCATACCGTCACCGCCAAAATTGTCAGGCATGGACTTGAACTCCGTGGAAGATTTCCTGTGTTGGTCGAAGAGGCCCTTCTGTGCGTCTTTGGCTTGTCTGTACTGTTCTTCAGACAGTTCATTGCCACAGATAGTCATCTCAGGGGCAGTGTGTGGCTCAGTGCTTTGGGGAGCTGAATCCATCAACGTATCGACAGCATGCTGTCTACCGCCAGCCCGGGAGGAAGGCTCCTCGGACGGCTTTCCGTCGAAGTTGTTGTCGTTGGAAGTCTCCACAGTAGCAGCAGGCTTGCTCAAAGTTAACTCGATGAATTGATCTTGGTCTTCCGTGGGAGTGGGCACTGGCTCGGTGTAACCAAAAGGGTTTTGGCTGCTGTTGGCCTGGGTGGGAGGTCTGCTAGCAGCTGGCGTTGGCTTCTTCTTGCTGTCGACAAGGGGAGCACCGTCATGCTCGGTAAAGAAGGGGACCTAGCCCTGCTGTTTGTCTGGATGCTGCTTGTCAAGACCCTGGGGAGTCTGACCGGATGCTTGAGGGTTAGACATTGGTGTTGAAGGAATGTTGCGTGCGTGGTTCAAGAAGCGATGGGACTCAGAGGAGGTTCCAAAAAAGAAGAAAAACGAGAAAAGAAATACCGAAGTAGTTGTAGGACTATCAGAGAAAAGGTCTCGGATGATGAAGCAATTTGGGCAATGCGCACAAGTCTAGGATGGAGGTCGGTTTTGTCGTCGAGAGGAATGGAATCCAACAGAGGCACACTGATACTTGGGGTTGCTTTCCAAAAGAGTACCTTCCTTCCACAAATGGAACCTTCACATATTGTCTCTTTCCAATCCGCGTTGTGGTTGGGAGGCAGCCAGCCCCCGTGGGCCTGCCTTATTGATCCAAGCATCGCTCCTTCCCAGCAGTACTGTGCCCACGCAGAAGAAGCTGCATCCTCAATGCTTTACTTTTAACATGTCACTCCTTTATGTCCGCAAGCATCTCTCTCGAGGAGTCTTGTCGGATCCTGCAGTCGACCTGAGGGCCACCTGCCCTGCCTACCTACACACAATCAACTCGCTTCCAAGCATCACTCTGCTCCCGCCCAGGAGCCATCAACCAGCTTCGGTTATGAAACGCAACAGCCCTAGAACCAACACACGCATCGGACTGCGCCACAGGAGACATCCGAATTTCAGGGAGAGACATTCACTTTTCTGCAGCAATCTGCAGGGGTACGCTCGTGGGTGCTCATGGCTGCTCAGATGTTCCGACTGGCCGGGCACGTGGCAGATGGCACATGGGAGGAAGCTGCCCCGACAACAAGCAAGCTGACAGCCGTCTCGAAGGATCCCGGGGAAGCTCATAGCCATCTGGGACTACCTTAACGAATGGCGTCCTCAAATGCAGCTCATGTCCTTTTGGCAGTAGCCGCCACCAAAGGACTATCCAGACTCATGCTCGAAATTGAGCTTAGGGCTGAGCGGCCACACGACAGTCGTTCGTGAGGCGGCGCCACGACATCTGCCTGCAATAGAGTCTCGAACGCCCGCATGCTTTGGGACCAGACTGTCTTTGCGAGTGCTTCCTGACAGTATTCCTTGCATTCTTCAGCCTCTCAAAACCTAACAGAGCTTGTCGGGCCGTTTGGTCGCGGATTGAGCACTGGCTGGTTCGTCACGTCTCTGAAGCTTGTTTCCCCATGGACTCCGCGAACCAAGGACGACCTGCAAGACGAAGGACCCCTTCGCAACATCCCAAATCCCAAGCGGAGGGCGGCCACTACTTGCAGTTTGACAAGTCCGCTCGGACGCTGCAGTGTTCAACGTTTGGACGCCGGCAGCACAGAGCACCGTCCGAGCGGCACCGGGGGAAGCGCTTGAATCTGAAGAGCCATGGCGGTCTTCACTGTTCAAGGAATGGCGGAAAAGACGGCGCGTGGTAGCGCCCCTCGTCTGCCCATTTTCTGGCCTTTCATCTTTGGACCCAGGGTCTGGATGATTCTCTTCCAAGTCATCCTGGCCTGGCCAGTCCCGCTCATCGAGACAGAAGGAAGCAGGAGGGGTTGGCAGGAAAAGCAACGTTGCTGCCCCGCGCCCCGGGAGGAAGTTGTTTGTCGTGCGGCCGGATCACTCGCATAATGAGGCCATGGCTGGAGGTAAGCCAAGATCCGAGCCGGGAGGTCCGAGAAGAACGGTCAGGGGGTGGAAAAGCGGAGGCATTCAGAATTCGGATAAAGCCTGACGACGGTGTTCCACGTGGTGGCTGATCGCCGCTAACAGGCCTACCAGGCTAACCGGATCGTTGCGTGCAACGCTGAATGCTTACCTGCTTCCGGCAAAATCCAGTTGAAAGCAAAGGCCGAGACGAAACTGCCCCCTGAGGCGAGGCGTTTGCCGTTGAGCGATTTGGAAGCTGGCGGGGAGAGGCCGCCCTGCTCCGTGCTACAACGGACACCTACAGCTGGCAAGCAGGCTGACGGGGGAGGCCGAGGAAAACTTCGCTTGTTTGTGCGCCCAAGAAACCTGCGGATGCGGGATGGACTGCGATGAGAAGTGATGATACGCTTTGGCGCGGCGGAGTAGACGTTTCTCAATGGATGCTGCTGCAGGCCCGACCTGCATTCGGCCGAAAGATGATGGAGGTTCTTGTCGCGTCATGTCGGTGGCTGGCGGTCCATCCTCGACCCTTCGAGACAACAATTCCTTCAGATAACGAGAGCCAAACCAGGCTGGTACGTCTGTGAAGATGACATGATTCGTGGGCGAGTATGTTTGTCGCGAGAGAAGAAAAGCAGAAAAAGGAACAACACTGAGAAGTTACGAACGAAATGACTAAGCATCTGCTGTGGTCGTCCGAACTTCATGCATCCAACTCCGCCGAATTCCTAAGAGTCCGCCAACAGAACATCGGTTTAATCTCCTGTCGAGTTGCACCAGCTCCATCGTGCTTAGCCAATGCTGCAAAACATGGCACTGCTCCGGAGCTACGAGGCTATTCTCGGCCACCTCGTCTCTCCGTCCACTCAGCTGGGACCAACGGGTGGCACACCGCGACCAACCGACAAGCGCTGCGGTTGTGCACGCACGCTGATGGCCATGGACCATGGACCGCGACTTGGCTCTGCTAGCGCCGGCCTCTCGATAAAATTACAGACGGTGGTGACCTGAACAATTCAGCATCCGTCAATGAGATTGACTCGCATCCTCGTTCAAGACGCCATATTTTCGATCTAGTTTCACACGGAAGCAATGGACGGAGCCATTGACGACAATCAATGCTCGACGCGTCTTCAATTGACTCTGAACGTCATTCAGCTTGGCCGAAATTGATCGTCCATCATCCACCAGAGCCGCCACATTCGCGGGACAGCAGGGGAGAATCCCTGAACGATCTGCCTCTGTCTGCCTCCAATCACCAGGATCGCAGGTGTCTCACTCTCACCCACTTGCAGCGCTTGCATCTGACGCAGGGGTTTCCTTCCCGGGGAAGATAAACAATGGCAGAGATATACTCAAGATGGACACGGCATTGACGGGGCGGCCAGCGCCTTCAGCCCACTAGCGGAGAAATAACTGTCGTCAATATCGTTCGATTTGCGCGTATGGTTGGTCCTGACCCAGTACTGCACTGCAATGCCGCTGCACTCCTACCTCAGAGACTCAAAGAGGGGCTCAACAACCCATTGTTACAGCAGAAAGATGGCGGATAGCATCAGCTCAAGCCCTCGACTGCGTTTCCCGTTATTTCGGTTCCTTTCAAAAGTCGTTTCGTCGCAGGTTCAATGGAACAAAGCCATACGCTACCGACCGGTGCTGCTTCAGAACTCAACAGGGCCTTCTTTGACTTTGTCCCTGGGACACACTAGATCGCTAGTCGCGAGTCCGGTCAGCTGGCGCTGCCAATAAAAGAAGCTGGCAAATGGGCTTCTTTCCAACCCTGTTCGATTGCTTTTTCTCCGAGAGCTGCGCTAAATTACGATTGCTACCCCTGACCTGGCCGTCCATGTTTTCTTTTACTGGCCGCAATGGCTGTCATCGTGGAGACACACGTACGTAGTTCATCTCTTGGGAACAGAGACCTCCTTGCCTGTTTGCTTTTCCCACGGCTTTTCGATCGCTCAGAAATTTTCCATCTGGACGACAACAAACACTGTGCCGCCTCTGCCCAGGGTGCTCCGGGGGCTGCCTCTCGACATCCACAATCTCGGTTTCTGTCTTGGTACATTGTCTGTCAATGACGAGGGGATCACGGCATGCGCTGTCCTGATCAGGACCCCAGCACCAGGGTTGCAGAACTCTATCGACATCCGTCTCAGACCTGAAGCTGACCTGAGTGATGCAAAGGCAGAGCCAGCTTGAAGCCTCACACATGCTAACGAAAGCTAAGGCAGCGAGACTGGCGGAAAAGCTGTTTCGTTCTGCTTACATCTTTGTTGTCACTTTCGCACGGGCCGCGGGCCATCCCATCCGTCCCATTCATGTCCCATCCCATCCGACTCTGCCCTCCGTTTGCTGACCTGTTTTCGAAACTTCGGGGCCTCAATTTCGTCCGAGCAGTAAGTCATGTCACTGCTGCGCCAGCTTGTTTTCTCCAGGTTTTGCCGACCCCTCATGAATTGTAGACGACCAGGTGCCCGGCTCATCATACAAACACGTAAACGAGGACTTGACAGGGAGGCGGCCTGCGTGTTGGAATCGTTTGACTTGGCCATGGATTTGGACACGGTCGACGGGCCGCTTCCATTACCATGTCTCTCTTCCGTTTGGGCAAATACGCACAAGTCAACCGCCAATGGGAGACTGAACTTGGCATCCGGACAGAGGAACTAGGCAAAGTTGCCTGGATATCGGGTCACAGCAGGGCAAGCGCAGGAAAGCTGGGTAGTAGCTGGCGTCGCAAATGCTTGGCCCAGCTCCGCGTGCTTCGTACCTCGCCTTACTAGAAATCCTCTTATCCCGTCTGATCCCTTGGTGGAGGCTACGCCAGTGGCTCTCGATGAAGGAGGGTGTGCTACCCCATGCAACATGAAGCAGCCACGCTCAGGTACATGGATTCTTGTATCGCGTCTTGCCTCGCATGCACGAAGCCTTCAACCCGGTCTAACAGTCGCTCTAGCGTGGGCTCTATCTTGCTCAGTCGCTCCGCTCCATCATGTATGCACTTCATCAGCCTTAGCACCCTTACACGACTCATCCCGTCGCATGGTCCCTCCTTTTCTTTTTCCATCGCCCGCCTAGAACTGACGCTATTCCTGCTTGTCCACGCAACTTTTAGACTCCCCGACCCCCCTCCTCTCAGCACCCATCCTCTTCCTCTACACCTTCTCTCCCGACAGCTTTGCCTTCGTCACTGTTGCCGTGGTCACAGTAGCCTTGTATCTTCGAGTCGTCCTGGGCCGTGACACTCTCAAAACTCCCCTCCAACACCGCAATTTGTCGTATCGTCGTATCTTCGACAGCCATAGCATCACGCAACAAACAGACGGCGTGTCTGCCCAAGACAACCGCCACATGGCGGGCGAGAAACTGTGACCATGGGCCTCTTGAAGTTCTTCTCGTCCAAAAGATCATCGGAAAAGTCAGCGAACAACATTAAAGCGCAAGCCTACGATGCTACCACGGCCTCTCTACCCCCACTTCTTGGTAGGATTCCATCCCACCTTGAGTCGCTTTGCGAATACAACTAACACCTTCAGGAACCTACCCCGTCGCCGGAAATGGCCCAACCAACGTCTTTGAGGACCTGCAACGGTCTCACCACAAGATGAGCGAATCCAATCTTTCTCTTATAGCCGGATCCGAAGCATCGGCACCCGCTCCGCCCGTACCACGATTCCGCGATGCCAGCGTTGAACGTCCCAGTTCCGCCCCGAACGGTGCCGGACCGAGTTCATCGTCGCCATCGAGTCGTAGAGGAAGAGATTCTTCGAAGGGCCCACCGCTGTCATTTAGGAAACCGCGTCTCGGTTCTGTGACGTCGACGGGGTCCCCGGCACCGCGACGTGGAAGCCAATCGCCGGCGATCCCCTTCGAGGGCGAGCCTTTCCGTCCGCCAACAGCCCCATTCGCACACAATCGCCATTTCTCGATACAGAGCAATAGCTCCATGGCCCGAGGTTTCATCGATATCTTGGACGCCCAGTCTGAGATCAAACCTTCCGGATTCCAGAATCGGGTTAAAGCGGCCGGCGTTCGGGATTATGGAGAGGATGTTGCTGACAGGAACATTGGTGAAAATGGAGTCGACTTGGCGTCTGAGAAGGTCCAGGCATTCTATGCCATCAACGGCGGTAGCCCTCATGATCGGCAAGATGGCGCGCCCGCACCGTCTGTCTCAATCGCCCAGTTTGGAGACAAAGACCAACCGTTCAAGCCTCCCCGACGCCACGACTCACTCGATATGGGCGGCCGAACGAAGTCTCTGACTTCGGCGAGCGTCGGCCAAATCCCCTTCCGAACCACCATTTTTAATCCCGATCGATCGCAGAGGCACGAGACGATCATGGAAGACGTTCCCGAATCGGCCCGCAGCCGACGAAGACAATCTCTTGGGTCCTACTCCCTTGGATCCTTCATCCCGACTACCCCATCGAACGGGCCGCTTGACGTCCACAAAATAGCCGATTCATCCGTCTCGCCTAGCACCAGGAGACAGAAACGGCGATCAACGACCGGTGGCGAGGCACCACTCAACGAATTGGGTATCTTCAGCACACGACCGACCGAATCGCCATCGTCGCCAAAGACATCGCAGAAGCCGGTTTACGTGGTCAAGCACAACTACTCGCTGCCAGTCCAGCAGCGACCAAAGACCTCCGGCCACGCGCAGCCCGAGACTTATCAAGCGGTGAGGCCGCCATCCCGCGGAGGGTCAGTAGCCAATTCCACCTTCTCCTCCCCAACCCAGAAAACGCCCTCAAAACGACATACTCTGTCACTGTCCGCGACAGGTGTGCCGTCCTTCCGCAACGGCGAGTTGTCGTCACGGAATGTGATTCCCGACGATGACAACGACGCAAGAGGGCGGGTCGGCCGGGTTGAGGTTGAGAGCTTTGTTGATTCTGGGGATGGATCCTCACCGGCGCCTTCACCTCGTTAGTTTGACCGTCGATTTCTACCATTGTGTGCATTGTATGGAGAGATTTGCTGACTTTAATCTGTGGCAGATGTGATGAGAAATGGCCCCTCGTGGCGTGAGAGCCAAGACGAGCGGTTGAAAAACAACGGGTCGCCGCGGAAGAACAATAAGCTCGACGAGATTTGCGAGCATGTGCCGATCCGGACCAGTAGCCTGCGCCACTGGTCGATATCCTCCGCGACGCCGACCATGTCAAGCACCAGCTCATTCCCGCGACCGCAGTCTAGACATACAGCCACGACATCTGTCGATCTGGCAACCATGTCCTCGTTCATGAACGATAGCTGCAGCTCATTGCACAGCGGGACTGCCGACCACACCTCGTTCTGCACCGCTCTCGAGAGCGCGCTACCATCGCCAGTGGACGCGGCCACTCCAGGCGCAGGTTTCAACATTGACGACTACCTCTCGTCAGACGATGACGTTGACGCGGACTCGTTCATTACAACGCGCCATCGCGACTCAGGTCTTGGTGCGACTCAAGAGGAGGAGTTGCTGTTTAGCGACAGTGGCTACGGCGAAGCAGGTCTGCAGCTGCCAGGCCTATTTGACAGCCTGTCTGCTGTTCCGGAGCCCAGTTATGTATCGCCTTCGCGTCCCAGCATGCGGCAGTCCCACAGCTTCGGCAGCCCTGTGCGCTTCCAAAGGAGACTGTCTCTGGACCCGAGGGTGGAGGCACCCATCTTCTCACTTGATGAAGAGGATGATGGCCCTGGTGACTATGACATCCTGCCTGCTCGGGCAGACCTAGCCCTTGGCAGGCGGGGCACCAGGAGGATCTCGGCCATCGGGACGGTGTACCAGAGTATCGAAGAAGAGAGAGAAGAAAAGGTCGACGTCAGGACGGCGATTCGACTAAGAAAGGAGGCCAAGGCTAAGCAAAGAGCCATGGCAAGGCTCAGCAGGGTGCAGCGGAGAAAAGCTGTGGATGATGAAGCGGACCATGCTGATGTGGAGTGAGGGGTTAGCAACCAGGAGGGGCTAGTACCCGTTTACATGGTCTTCACCTCGTGTTCTTTTGATGGGTTCGGTCTAAGGGGTTGGAAATGGACTTGGAAAACATTCCTTTAGGAGTTTCGAGTGTGAGTTATACCCAGGGAGTATCGACGGATGGGACCACTTAGCGATTTGGATTTGGGACTTGGGATATAGAAAGACAGCCGGCGCAAGCTGGGATGTCTGGGAACCGTAACGAGATCATGTATGACATGCTAGAATAGAGATTATGATGCCTTTCCCCCCTGAAACACCCTGTCTATTGCGCACAGGTAGATCTGCACAGCTGCTGCATTTATACTCAGAGGAGAGGAGCCCTGATCTCGTATCAAAACACAGGGGGAAGCTTTGAAGCACTCTTTGTTCTTGTCCCTGTGCGGATGTACCTTGAGAAATGACAATAGCAGTATCATATGTGACAAAGATAACGACTCCCGTGACAACACCCCCGACTACTGCCCCCCTACTGGGTATTATTACAGAAGAGAAGTGACTGACCCATCCGCTGTAGAGAGCTTGGTGGTTGACATTGTGACATCTCGTGAACTGACGCTTCGGTTGACCCGTACTTCATTCCTGGCTTCCTGGGCGAGTAGTGATGATAGCATAGTGATAATAATATGAACGACAAAGACGACGAATGCAACGGCGATAATGAGGACGAACACGACTACAAAGATAATAATAATGACGAGAATAACGATGGAAACAAAAACGAAACAATAACTTAGGTACCTTGTAGGCAGTAGTCCATCCACTTAGCTGAAGATGTGTGCTTAGATGGCAAAACTCAGCGTATGAATATCCTTTTCACGCTGACGGGACCGTAATTCGCAGCCGAGGCTACACTTCAGGCTTGGAGGACGACGGCAAAGACATATGGTAGGCCAGAGCCATGAGCTGCCCTCGGGATCACTCCAACTCAACCATACTATTCGCCGGCAGCTCGTGTCTCACAAAATGAGGTGTTATAGTGCGCTGAGTCTGTTGTTGACCATGTTTCTAAGCCTGGGCCGCCGTATTTGCGGGTGGCTGCGCTTGAAGTCGGCTTGTATTGGACTGTTTTCTTGATTTTCCGGCGCGAGTCTGTCTCCTTCGACGTAGTATGAGCCAGATGACCACGCACAGCAATGCGAGGGCGATGACTGATATACCGCTCACTACTCCTCCTATGATAGCTCCAATGTTGTTATTAGGCGCTGATTCAGGTTTGGAAGGCTCAGATGGTACGGGAGCGGAAGAGGTACTGGCCGTGACCCTGACGATGTCAGTAGGGTCATCTACCAAGAACACCAGGTTTGTATAGCTGAAGCCGACCCCATAGTCAGTCCTGTAACATCCTCTACGTGTGACGAAGCCACCTGAGGCGGTTTTTTTGATGTAATCGACACATGAAGGCAGCCATCCGTCCTGTGAATTAGTGCTCAAAAGGAACTGTCAGTCCAAGTATGTTGGCAAGGGCTCAGTCCTCGTACCAGCAATGTTCGGCACTGCCCAGCATGGATGTGCTGAGACATATCGATGCCGTGCTGTTGTAGCATAATGTGATAGCCAAGGAACATTGCATCCATGGACCCGATGTATGACAGCTGGTACTGCTATCACATGTATACGGCACAGGCGAACCTACGAAAATTTGAGGTTAGCTTCGTTAGAATGAGTAGGGTTCCCGTGCAGAAAGACGTTCAAACCTTGAAAAGAAGGGCCAGATATGAAACCGCAGGTATCTCCAGATCGCTTTGCTAATGCAACATTCTTTAGATGAACTGCTGGGCCTGTAGTGGGAGTAGGTATCCGACGGAGACGTTGGTCTGCATAGTCCTCTTCGGCCACCGTACGTCGGGCAGGGAGACCATCATCCGCAACTAACATGTCGTATGTTGGGAGCTCTTGGTATGAATGAAGCATGCCAATTTTCAGCATGGGGCGCAGGTACGTCTTTTATCGAACGAGCTGGGTGCCAAGTCGAAAAATGCTGCCTATCTTGGACGAGTGGGGAAGTCATTGCTTTCTTGTGTTCGTTTCCCTCGGAACTGTCGTACACATACTTGGCGTGAGGCTTCCTTCATGACACTCAAGCGTTCCCGAAGGACAGACTTTTTGAGGATCTTTCAGGATAGGAGCCGAGCGCTGGAAACATCTCACCAATAGAAGCTCACTTCCAGATGAAGAAGTGATTATGGAGAGCGCCTTGAGGCATATTGCAAGGCTGCTGAGAGGGAGATGTCTCACTATGCTTCAGGTCACTCTATCTGTCGCATATCAAGAGGTACTACATGCTACTTCCTCTTTGGGAAGCGACGTAAGAGAATCTTGGATATTCTAATCGTATTAGGGAACTACTCATGGACGGCTTGGGCACTCAATACTGGGGAATTTAGCTCCTCACACCACTATCGACCCAACTCAACCGTGTTGTTCCCATTATGACCACCGGCTAAGTAAGGTCCCGGACTATACTGCGGAACAGGGGACATTGAGTCAGGTCTCTGCTGAACCTGCTGTTGGCTCAGCCTCTTGTCATGGCTGCCAGGGCTGACTTGAGAGGTCTCGTAGGGCTGGATGAATGGTTGGCTTGTCTCGGGATGATCTGACATAGGTGATGGATCGTCTTTGTGGGCTGACTTCCTCCGGCGTAGCACCAGCCACACGATCACACATACTGCCAGCGCGATCACTGCTACGCCACCGATCGCGCCGCCGACTATCGCTCCGATGTTTGTGTTCGATTGATCTGAGGCTGAGGATGTTGTTGCTGGTGTAGATGTCGAGGTAGTGGCAGTGGAAGAGGAGGAATCGGACCCTGTTGACGAGCTGCTAGTCGTTGAAGGCCTGACAATGTCGCTTGGGTCATTAACCAAGAACACCTGTCTCGCGAACGTGCCGTTGATTGCCCAGTAGTCCTTGTAACATCCCTTCCTCGTTAGGTATTTTTCCGACGTGGTCTTTTTGACGTAGTCCACACAAGATGGCAGCCAGCCACTTGTAGTGTCGGTGCTAGCGACGGTATTGTTAGCTACCGATATATGACAATAAACATGGGACTCGTGAGATTGGAATCATCATACCAGCAACGAGTACTTTCCCCTACGGATGTGCCCCTGCATGCCCACCCGTCGAGACACTCTGTGATGAGCGCGTCGTTTTCCGTTCCGCAGCCGAGATATGCCCCATAGGACGTACAGATGGTAGTGCCTGCACAAGCATATGCACGAGCCTCAGCTGATGTAGGTATGTAAGGTTAGTTCCGTACGGAATATGATGTAGTCGGGCAAGAAGCTCACAATTAAAGGGGTCAGATACGAAACCACACGTATCTGCAGCGCGTACAGCTAAAGCAGCATTTCTGAACCGTAATTTTGGAGCAGGTGTCGGTGCAGGTGCTACAGGTAGGCCCAGGAGCGCATCCTGTTCGGAGGAAGGCGTTCGTTGTGGAAGGGAGTTCTCGTGACCTAAATTGCTCATGGCCAGAGCTTTGTAAAACATTCCCGTGACTATGACCACGGCCCATGGAAGACGCATTGTCGGAGGCCAGGTACTCTCGAATATCGAAAAGTTCCCAGGGAGACTTGGAAAGAAAGATAGCTCAGGCCTTAATGCCATGAATCTATGGGACGGCCCATCACTAAATACCTTTGCCTGACGCCAAGTCAGGGGGTACTGCTGCTCTGATATTTTAAGCGGCGAGAAAGGCTGGGCCGTTATCTTCGTATTTTCAAGACACAGAGAAAGCCACTGTAAGCATGATTTAGTGTAACGCTCTGCATAAATGTCGTAACATATTGTATTGCTGATAAGTCAAATCAGGCTGGCCCAGGAATGCCATTCGTTGTGAGCCTCCTCTCGTCCCAGCCTGCAGAAGGGATGCAAGAACCCGGTCTGGTGGCTGCTTGGCGAGGAGGGGTTTCAGCCGTTTCTGACGGGACGGCTTTTCAGCTGAAGCCATCATCATGGAGATCTCAAAAACGACTGGACAAGTCTAGGGTGTATGCACGCAGCCTTGTGCTGAGTACGAAGGGCGAATTTCTCACTGCGTGATGTGTCTTAGTTGCCTGCGGCTTCCCACCTATTGTGCATGCCGCATATGCATGCTACACATCAATTCCTCCCTTCGAAGCCGACCGTGAGAATGGGAGACTCCCTCCGCTCACACATGCGAGAATCCCGATCAAAGAGCTTGGTATTGTTGCTTAAATCGCAGAAGATCTCAAAACATCAAATGGTCGTCCCCAGATGAGAGCCCGCCTCCACTCCCGCCTCCGAGGAATGTACTCCAGTCTAGCTCTGTGAGCTGCTCATCGCACCATCCGAACAGATCCATCCCTCCGTCCGTGGTCGCAGAAGGTGTCCGAATCGTGGACCCCGCGTTTGACCCGCCCTCGACCTCCGCGGTAACGGCTTCATACAGCGCTGCCACGATGTCCGGAGCCCTGTCCGAGGCACGCATCCAGGGGCGCATCTCGCCAAAGAGTTCGAGGGCCTTGGTTAAACTTGCGCACCATGTTTGCAAGGCGACGGAGGCTACGGTATCCGGAGAGCTTGCGACTGCTGGAGGCGGATGATTAGGTGTTGTTATTGAGGTAATCGGGACCGAGGTCGATGCGCCTGATGTTCGTCTTTGGGCGTTTTGGTGTTGATGTTTGCGAGCTGCTGTTGCCCGATGTGTTTCAATCGCGATGGATAATAAGGGAACCATGCATGCTTGGAAGAGATACCATGCCGAGTTCCAGACGTGGACACGGTTGGGTGTCCAGTAGAGCGTGATGGCGTCGATTGCTTCTGATGCAACAGTACGGCATGATTCGACGAGGGAGAGCTCCTCTTGGGAGATATTTGAGGCGATGTCGCTGGTTGCGGAAGTGCTACCTCGTTTGAGGCTGTGGTCGTGGGCGAGGTAGAGTAAGAAGCAGCGAGACAGGATTAGTCGGACGTTGAGGTATCTGTTCCGCATAAACTCCCGGGCGACGGTCAACCTCGGAGGGGAGTTGGCTGGGTTCTTGAGGGCTTCAGGAAGAGAGGCGTGCCAATCATGGAGCTCGCGGTCGAAGGACAGGGCTTCGTGGGCGGAGAGCCGCGCGGGTTGGGCGAAACGATGTTGTATGCGGTCGCAGATGTGGCAGAAGTGACAGCTGGCTCTCAAGGAAGCTGCGACGTGGTCGTCCGGGGTGAGAGGAGTTGGTAGAAGCGTGTCCATGGTGCTGCTGTCCCATCTGCCGCATGTCGGCCGGCCTAGGGTCATGCTGGCCCACGTATCCAGGCAGAAGAGGCTCCACCATGTCCGTCGCCGGGTCTCGGTACGGATGCTGTGGTGTTCGGCGGTGTGCTCGGCTGCGTGGCGGTGACTCCGGACTGGTTCGCGATGTAAGCCAAGAGCGATGGCCACGCGATGAGCAGCACCAAGGACTGCGTATGCCATGTTGGGTGAGTTGCGGTAGTGAAGGTAGTAGCCGCCGAGAAGGCACAAAGCCTGAAGACTCTCCATGTTCCCTGACCCCAGAGAGTCAAGACCGAGATGGGCGCGTGCTTGTTTATAATACTGCACGTGTAGTGTGTCACTACCTGACGCGACGGAGCCGAGAGTGAAGACCATATTCAGTAGTGCGAGCCAGGAGTCATCGTGGCGGTTGCCTGCGGCGTAGGTGGTGCGAAAGTCGTCCTCATTCAGGATTGGCGTTATGGGGTGGATGTGCTCAAAGTAGAACTCGATGCAGCGTTGCTCGCGGAGGGGATTCATTCCTTGACTGGCTGCGTTGAGAATAGAGAGAGGGGGCAGGCTTTGCTGGTAATGGGGTAACGACGAGGACTCGGTCCATGACTTTGCGCGTTGGGCAGTGTGCTCTTTGGCGGCTGGGCAGAGACGGAAGATGGCTCTGAGAACAGCACTCATGGAGGTGACACCCAGATATGAGCGGCGATGCTGGTCTGTTGCAAGGGATATGGCGTTGATGTCGTCGCTTGCACGGATAGTCGCTGTGGGCTGATGAGCGGCAGCGGATTCATCCCATCGCCTGTCGTTGGCGGGCTCGCCGTTCTCCGAGATCTGAGTCGAGTCATTCGGGTCATTATCATCGTCGTCCTCATCAACGGCGGAGATGTCAGTCGGTGAAGGATCTTGAGTTGTGGGTGGTAGGTTGTAGAGTGAGTCGCGAGGGATGAGGGCGAGAAGCTGTGAGCGAGTCTTTCCGACGAGGTCTTCTACCGGGATATCGGGGAATAGTTCATTGAGAATGCGGGACTGAGCCTGAAGTTGTTCAGATGCCCTTTCAAGTGTACTGTGATCAGATTAGCATGAAAATCGTGACCCGAGGTGGAGTGAGACGAGATTCAACCGTGAGGCTCACCTCCGGCTAACGGCATGCCGTTTACTGCGTTGCCTGTACTCGCAAGTATCTGCAACTTTGTAGTACTCGCAACTCGCACACGGATGGCCGCCGTCGCATTTGACTTTGCGCCTCGTACATTCCTGGCATGACCTGTTCACCTTGCGGGACGGCGTTGCGGAGCCTACCGCCGAGGCTGGCGGGCTTCGGCTGTTGAAGGAGTGAAACATTGCCGAGATCGCCGCCGCTGCGGCGGTTGCGATCGGCACTTATACGGCCCCTCGGCAAGCAGCTGCAACGACACCAATTGGGCCGGGGCACATTTGGGGTATGCGGAGGCTGATGTTATTACGGCGGGAGAGGTGGAAAGGATGGCCGCACGCTCTGCAAATGAGGTGGATGGAAGAGGAAATGTGGGTTGAAGAATGGAAGGGTGAGGTGACTTTTGGGAGGAGACTTGGGTGGGAAATTTCGAGGGAGCTGACGCGGGGGAAAGTGGAGAACTGAACATGGGGAAAGTGTGGAGTTGCAGGACCTGGATTTGCTGCTCACTTGGAAGAGTCAGGGGTCGGGGGAGCGGCCGGGTCTAGACCGGGATGGGCCGGGGTGAAACCGGGGGAGCACGGTGCTGATGCCGGGCTCTCTTTTTAGGTTCAAACATTTTGCTCCACGCGAATAAATCTCATCTGTTGCCAACCCCTTTTGATTCATTCTTTGGGATAATGGAAAATCGATTTAAACTTGAAGTGTCGAAGACGGAAGATATGGTCTTCCATGCGTTTAGTCGAATACTACACTACCTATCATCCATGTATTTCGTCCTCGTTGTCGTCCTCGCTGTCGTCCTCGCTCTTACCGCCCATGTGACTTTTCTCGTTGTTATCATAACATTCATTCTTTTTATCTCTAAAATCCTCAGTAATGCATGCCCATTTTCCCTTTCGTCTTGCTCGATACGCTTGAACTGTGATGAAAATGCAGATATTCTCTCGAGACTGAGAAGCCCTACCCGGACAAATCTGCGACTATACAAAGGCACTCTCTTATAATTTTTGTTTTTTGGTGGAACCTCAAATGTTTCCAAACTGAGTTATCGCCGCCAAAACTCCGAGGAAGACTGTCATCATGTTAGCTCAAGACTTAGAACACCATGGCTGGATCTAGAGCTACGAAAGAGAACCATAACTCACCGGTAGCAGCAGTAACTATATATGAGGAGATTGACCAAGCTGTCTGGACAACTGAATTAAAGTCATCTCCGTCACTTAGTCGCCGCTGCATGTACCAAATCCCGATGGCCAAGCTGAGAAGAATGGGCGACATGCCCCAGAAGATGAATTTCGGTGCTGACCAACTTAAGATGAGTTCAAGAGCATATATGCCCTCTTCCGGATCAGTAGATCCGGCGTTGAACTCCCTGTGCATCCACTGAATCCATCTCTGCCCACCAGGCTCGATATAATCTGCCTGATAGTCTGCAAAAAGCAACGCGAGCGTACCCTGCGTTTCTGGGTGTAGCTGAACAGGGGCATGGTAGCCAACCTTGGGGAAGCACCGATAAATGCCGAAGCCAGAAATACTTTTGAGCGAAAGAAGGCGTCGTGGCCACGGCCTGAGGCTATGCGAAGCCTTGTATATCTGCTTGAACATTCCTTGATCATCTCCAGTGTGAATTGGCAAAAGCTTCTCCTTGGGCATCACATTCGGGCCTCTTATACCGACCGCAATGTATTTCAATGTCTCGAACTTGTGATTCGCAGGAACACATTCTCTTTCGTAAACCAGGCGGTGATTCTTGGACTGAAACGAAATGTTGAGAATCTTGAAATCGTAATTCCACCATTGGCCATTCGGATTTGGAGTGCGTTGGGGAGCTCGGCAGCAATGTCTGAGTGCCCTTGTGACGGAGTAACTGTTGCTTGACCCCAGGACCGTGAAATCCAATTTCTTCGTGTACGCCTTCGGTCGGACCATGAATGGCGGAGCTTCCAGCTTGATCTGCCTACCCACGCTTATCAGAGTGAGAGCGGGGTTGTCGATCTCGTGCTCATGTTCTGAGTCGTCGTCGATTATGATCCGGGTATGTTCGATTGGGACCTTTGCGATATGATCCAGGGGCAACGTGACCCCCGAGACTTCTGGCGCCATTTGTGATTTCCGTGATTGATAAATTTTGAGTAGAAAGAATGAAGCTTGTTTCCTGGGTGGACACACTTGTCTGTAGGTAGAAATCGCTATCTATGCCGGGCAGGCTCGCTTAATGCTGACTTGCATCAACCCATGCCATCCATTCATCTAAGCGGCAGACTATTGCTAGACCGGCTGCAGGTGGGTATTTGACTTGATCCCACAGCCTGATCTGGCTACTTCATATTACAACGCAGAGGGTGCCCGAGTCCCAGCCGTCGATTTCATAGATCGAGATGTACGAAAGCGTTCGTGTGCTGTCTTGCGCGCCAGGGGTCTGCAGCAGCCAGTGAACTTCGTAGAGTATATGTCGCAACAGTTCGACTTCTACTTCCCCTTGGTTCCATTCTTAGACGAACACCACGACCTCGACGGCGCATCATCCCAGTCGCAATAGGTAATCCATACCTGGACTGCTGCTAAGGCGGTGGCAGTCAAGGCAGAGAACGCCGTCACAACAAGGGCGGCGATTGCGCATTCAAACATCCGTCGAGGAGACCTCCCCCGTTCAGTGTACTTTTGCCACCAAGTGATTGGCGTCGGATCATCGAATTCTCTCAACAACCTAGACAGCTGTCGTCCCCAGTAAGGATACTGCTCGTACAGTCCATGTAGGTCTTTTGGAGGCTGGTTGAAAATGGATGTAGACGGTTTGAGAGATGGATCCAGTAAGCGTTCGTCAAGCTCTTCTCTTTTCGCCCAGTCTTTCAGAATTCTCTTTGACTTTTTATCGCCAAATACTGGAAACAAAAGATCCAAGGTTTGTAAGGTCTCACCCAAGAGCTGGGGATTTAAACAACCGCTTTGCATTGATCAGCATTCAAGCCTTTCGATTGCACAATCAACTCACAATTTCAAGGCGTCCAGCGTAGAATGATCCAAGTCGTTCCGGTCGTCCTCTAATATTTTCAGACTATATTCGAGAAAGAAGCGATGGTGGAAGACGAAAAGAGTCTTGGAATCATCTCCATAACTTAGGTACAGGTGATCTGATAGCTTGTTTGTTCCTTTGATTTGGATCCCAGTTTCTCTCGTTAGATTGGCGGCCCTGAGGTTCCTTACATTTATAGGCTGATCTGACGTGGAACTGAGGGGAACTCGGCTGTAAACGCGGTCCAGAAAATCGACAATTGTTTCGTTGTTCTTCCACTTGAAGCTGATAGAACCCCCGCCGAGTGCGTAGTCAGTCTGCGCAGTAGTCATGAACATCATGCGTACGACGCAGTCAAGGACTGCAGTATCTTCATGGCTGCCTTCTATTGAGCTCGGTATCAGTTGTGATTTGGAGACCGGAGATTCAGACTTAATCCTGCTGATGATGGATGCTATAACTTCTGCCGAGCATGCCGCCCCTCGTTTCTTCGTGCTAAAGACGTAATGCTCATGTGCACATTGATTGAGAAAAGTAGCCAGGCAGTTGTCTTGATCCTCCTGCCGACAGCGCCCCCAAATTGACTCTATAATGATATTTTGGATGGGCTGTGCCGACATTTCGAAGCCGTTGTCGCAAAAGACTCATATGCATCATTGGAATGCTTGGATGGCGAACCTCTGTCTTTTTGTGTTTCGATACAGCCTTGTTTCTGTAAGGCATCTGGCAAGGCGAATTCGATTGTCTTGGTACCGATCTGTTGCGCCATGCGACCCAAGCCACATAAACACATCCGGCATGTTTGGGTGGCCTTTTGGCACCACGTAATTTTGTCGCTGCATGTTTGGTTGGACAGAATTCCCCCCTTGAGAGGCGCAGTTTTCATGATTGTACAAGTCATCTGTCTCACACACCCCCCCCCCCCCCCCCCCCCGCNTGTCTCCCCCCCCCCCCCCCCCCCCCCTGCGGGGTAAGCGTTGGGCTGATTTCTGACTTGGGATTTCTGGCTGACGTGTCAGCACGACGTCATTGCCATTTTGAAAGGGTTGATTTCTATCGAGGAGAATTGAAGTTGACTTCTGATCAGCCTTGGGTTCTGAACCACCTTGATTTCTAACGAATCTGACAAGCTGTCCTAGAAAATGACCGACAGGATATGTTGCGCAACTTGTCCTCCCACTGCGACTCGGTAAACATGAACAGACGCTTCGAATACTTCACACTCTCGGTGCAAGCGACAGTATCACCGATCTTGATTGCGTTTGAGGGGGTACTGCTGCTGACTTTCAGCTTTGAAAAGCTCATGTCAGGCGAGTTCATCTATCATGTGATGGGCAATGCCTTGGATCTCTGTAGAGACGAGCCCTGGAAACGGGGAGGCCTCGGAAGGGCCCGGAAATTGAAGAAAGAAGAACATTATGGAGCCAGGCCGATCATCTCTAAGGCAGCCGATGACAACACTCACAGGCCCACATGCTCTGTACCTGAGGACGATTCAATCAGGAGTTCAATCCATACGGCCACGCACCTGACAAAACGCCTCATATCAGAGACATCATCGCAATTGGAATACCGCGGAGATAATAGCGTTACCATGTTTAAATGCCCGTCTGAAAGCTACGCGGGCTTGCTCTCCACGAGCATTGGGAACCGGGACCTGAGTTATCCAGGGCGGAGACATGTTCAAGTGTTGCAAACAGCGACCACTGGAACAGAGGTCGCTACCACTCAAGTCATCGATATCGAAGCCACTCCTGAAGGAGATGATGGTAGAATCAAACAAGATGTTTCCGCGCGAGAGGACCATGCCCCTCAAGAAAACAACGCCAACGTCAAAGAAGACATGGCTATCAAGGAAAACACAACTGCCAGACACATGGCTTTATCAAGCAGTGATGATCGGCTTCATATTCCTTCTCAGTCTACATCGTCTAAATCTTTCGACAGTTCTGCCCGAGACCCTGAGGCTGTCACAGAATCAGGTTTTGAATCTGTACAAAGCTCTCAGACAACACCAGAAACATCGAAGACTGTCATGGTCAGAAAAAGACACTGGCTTTGGGGGCTGAAGCCCAAGTTCGACAAAGTTGACACTTCTCCTGGAGCCGACTTTACTTCAGATGAAATGGATACTATCGACGAGTTCACCGCATTGGCACATACGGCTTTGATTTCATGCGGTTGCAACTTGCCCACTTTGTCAACGGACTTGATATCATTGCACCCTGTCAATAATAAATGTCGCCCACTAGAAACATACATATGCATCATAGGCTTGAATACGGAAGAAGATATCGTCAAGTTCGAAAACGCTCTGAATCGGGCAAGCTTCAATTTCAAACATTATCGGCTTCAGTTATGTTATCTCTTGAACCCTATTCTTCGTTCAGCAACCTTGGAGATATCCCCCATACCAGCCAGCCAGCACCAGACATATTGTGGCAGATTGATGAGTTATCAACTTGAAGATGGCTCGGTCTCTATATCGACTGTGGGAGGATTGATATTAGTTGACGGTCAAACATATGCCTTGACAACAAACCATAACCCTGAAGAACAACCAAGAGAAGCTCCGAGAAGAGAATGCGAACAAGAAAAGGAGACTATAGAACAACCTATGATGAAGCCAGGAAAGATTGTTACGGCTGGGGATTGGACGCTTGCCCTGATCCAGCCATCTGACCGACTCCCGAACGTTATTGCGAACCGCCCTCCTGAGTCTACCGTTGAGCGAAGTGAGCTAGGGGTTGTCAAAGACTACTACTCTTTTTACATGGACTCTCGAGTGTTTTTGGACTCTCGGGAGGTCTTGATTGCTTGTGGGAAAAGCGGCTGGAAGCAGGGCTTCATCTCCAACAGAAGGACCTTCTTACTATCCCAAACACGGAGTCTACAAAAGGTTTGGTCGATAGATTTGGGAAACAATAGTGAGTAGCGGACCAAACTTTGACATTATGGGGAAATACTAATAGAGTGGAAGATTTCGAAGCTGGCGACTCTGGCTCCTGGGTTGTTCACAAGTACGATAACACTCTTATGGGTGCACTGATTGCCCGATCATCTCACAGCGGATATATGGTATCTTTCACAGACATCATGGAGGATATCGCAACAACATTGAAATTACTTCCACAAAATGTCGGCCTCCCCCAACCTGAGTTGGAACTCGATTTTGCAGATTGTGGTGAGATTGAGATACAAGTCAAAGAAGAAGGCGACGAAGAGGGCGACAAACATGAGCCTGTTGTCCTGTCCTCTCAGAAACAGGGACAATATTGGAAGTCAAAGCACATGTTGATCTATGCCATCGAAGTCTGCGCAACGCTTAGTGTGGCTACTCTGTGCCTGAAAAGAAGATGGGTAGAATTCGGGGTTTTGGTCACTTTGCGCGCGGTAGCTGTCGGATTCTTCGGTATCTCTGAAGCTATAATGGGACCAAGCAGCTCGCTTACGCTATGGGACTCTCCCAAACTTAGGAACCACAACTGGACATCAACATTGATGTTGCACACACCCTCACCCGGAACCCAAATCTTCATGATGCCGCTCTTGCTGCTGGCGACAATAGGTTGGGGTATCTTAAGGAGTACCGAAATAACGATAGAATGTTTCGAAGAATCTACCTGTCTTGAAGTTCGGGTTATAGACGGTGTAGACATCTTGGCTCTGGGAATACTCTGGGGAGGCTGTCTACTCGCGCTATTGGTTGAAGTTAGACAGCGGACTTTGTTCCTTGTCTGTGCAGGGTGGACTGTGGGTTTGGCTGTGGTCCTGATTTGTTGGTATACACCAGGACCTAGTCTCGCAGTCTATGAAACTCTGTGGAGGAACGAAACTTTAGAGATGCAGCAAGCATTCGTCACCTGGTGCCACACGAATGGACTACCAAAAGACCCACGACTTTGCGAGGCATCGTTCGCGGAGATGGCACCCGTTGTTTCTGGAGCCAAATGGGGTGAGTTGTTTTGGCCCCTTCTGGAATTTCTGATTCTAGGGAGTATTTTTGGGTATTGCTACGGGACCGGAGATTTCAACGTAACCGAGGTTTCCATGGACGTGGCAGCCAGTATGCTTCTTAAATTATCATAGGGTGAAACTCCGTATGCACCACTAAACACCGAGATCATGTCTTACAAGATTACCAGCCATATAGAGTTGAAATCCTTTGTCGGTTCATTGCTGAGCGACTCCAAGTCCATGATGTATCCGAAATGTCCGATCAAGTTGTAGGAGATACTCGTTCGAGTTACTGTCCGTTATGAATCTCGTCCCAGTGTACTTCAGTGAAATCTTCCGAAGGAGTATCCAAAAGAGGCTGTTTAATATCCAGAAGAACCTCATCAAAGAAGGCTCTAATGAACGTCCTCGTGATATTGACCATTCTGTTGCCGTCAATAGGCCCCATTGTAGCCGTGGTGCCGAAAATCTTCCAATATGTCCGGTCCTCCCAGTCGGCATGCACGCTTCCATCTACCGAGAACAGGCGCCACCAGCCAGTCTGCCAGGCTCGGTAATTGCTCCAAGTGCGGTCAGAGTTTGCATTGTGACCGCCGAAGCCCAGAATCATCGATGGCTTTTTCAGGTCGGAGTCGGAAGTGCTGTTCAATCGACCCCAGTTGGTACCGTCCACATTGATCGCAGCGGCAACAGCATCGCTCTCAAGTGCCAAGGTAAGAGCAGCGGAGCCTCCGAGAGACACACCAAACGTGCCGAGGTCGGTGGTCTTGAAGGGCGCGTCGAGCTCTGCCACGAGAGATGGAAAGTAGTCAATGAAGTGAAGTTGCTGTCTGACCCTGACGGCATGCAGCTTTTCTACCCAAGCAAGGGTGTAATTGTTGAAAGCTGGAGAGAGGCCGTAGACACCTGTGCCATTGGGATATCGCACGAAAGGTTGCTCGTAGACATGGTCGAATGCAGCCACGACGTATCCTTCGAAGTCATGTCAGTGTGAGCAAGGAATATTCAAGAAATCGTGGGCTTACCATGGGAGACGAGGTCAGAAATGGCAATGTAGCTGCCATCAGTCGGAGGACCCCAACCGCCGGGCCCGAAAAGGAGCGTCGGGCCTGTTCCCTCTTCAAGATAAGAGGCATTCCACCGCAAAGTCGAAGTCAGGTGGGAGATGTTGTAATTCCATAAATCCTCGTACAACTGAACAAGTTCGGGCTCGAGATACGGCTTTGGGCAAGGCTTCTCATCTGAAGTAGGATAGTACAACGTGACGAGATACTCGGTTGACACGCCGTTGGGCCAAACGACGTCCTCCTCTTCTAAGAAAGGAACGACAAAACGTTGGGCGCCGACATTGTACTCGCCCGTAGGAGCGGGGATGGGTTCTCCGAGAACCGGAAGGGTGAGCGACGCCAACAGACAGAGCGTCGGAGCCCAGGAAACTTGGAACTTCATTGCGATGATTGGGGATAGGAAACAACCAGGCTTGGAGACGAGTACGCCAAAAGGTGTTGTACGCGATGCTGATGTGTTTAAATAAGCATTTCAGAACCCTTGTCTTCTTCTCGGCATGAAAGTCGAACCCCTCCCGCGATCCATGGATAGATATGGGAAGCTAATGCCAGAAACGACGCGGCGGCACAAGCAAATCAGCCTAACTTCCATTCATTTTCAGACTTGGACTTACCTCAATCAGGCAGCTGGGACCTTTTGTGCCAGACTCATCCCCAGTCCAGCAGGCTCTACCCCGCTGAACGTATGACAAGAGTCCGAATGTGCAATCTGACCAGGGCTGCTGGCTGTAGGAGCAGGGTGGGGGAATACATACGAAGCGCCTTGGCATATACGCCCAGGTAAGCTGACAGCGGAACGGGCAATCTTGCCTGACCTAGATCACTGGGTAGTAACCGATGATTAATCTGCCTACATCCGCTTTTGCAGTTCAGATGTGCAGTTTCCTGCCTCGTATCAAGGGAAAGGCAACTCACTCTGTGTCCGGCATCTCTCCTGTATAAGTTGAGGGTGAAATAGCCGTTGTTGTGGACCACTGGCGCACTGCAGGAGAAGAAGTCATCGAGGAATTGAGAAATGGAAGACAGCAAACGCTTTTTGATTAAATCTCCGAAGTCCACATCCACAGAATAAACTATCCAGACATGTTCTACCTCTTCTTCGAAGGTCTGGCATTCTTCTCCATCTTCTTCTGCTTCTCCACTCTCGCCTTGCGAATATCCTCCGCCCCCTTGATCTCCTTCCTGCTGCCCGCGCCGTCCTTGAACTTGCCAATTCTCTTCTCCTTCGCCTCCGCAACCCTCTTCTTCCGCACCTGGTAGTCGTCGCGGTACTTGTCCGCCTGCTTCGGCGCCTTCTCCAGCTTGTGCTTGTACCTCGGCCCGGACTGGTCCACCGCGCCGGGCATGTTCGGCCTCTCCAGCCCGCCGACCTGCATGCGGCCCAGCCTGTTGGCCTTGCGCCACTTGTCGAAGCGGCCGCTCTGGAACGTGGCGGCGATCTTGACGCCCGACTCGCCGCGGATGAACTTGGAGCCCTTGGAGCCGTCCTCGTCGTTGGCGCGCGCGACGTACTTGTTCTGCTTCTTGTCCCAGCGCATGCCGCGCGTCTTGGTCGGCTCGCCGAAGCCCTTGGCCGTCTCGTCGTTGGTCAGGTCCATCGTCGCGTCGCGCGCCGCCTCAACGAAGCTCGACGTCTGCGCGCCTGTCGTGACGCCGTAGCCGCGCTCCTCGGCCGCGTTGATCGTGCGCGGCGTATAGGACATGTACACGTCCGAGTCGCGCCAGGAGTCGAGCTGCTTGTTCTTCTTCTTCTTGCCTTTTCCCTCGTCTGCGTTGGAGATTGTGACCTCGAGACCGTCGTTGTCGTCTGAGTCGTCAGAGTTGTAGGCCTCCATGGCGTCGGCGTAGTCTGCTTCTTCGTCCGAGTTTTCGTCGTCGTCCTGTTTGTCGGCGCCAAAGTCGCCCATCTCCGCGTCCGAGTCTTTGTCGTCCTTCTTGTTGCCACGGTGCGGCGTGATGCGTTTGCGTAGCTGCTTCATAACTTCCACTGCCTCGCTGTTGGAGCCCTTTCCTCCTCGTCCAATCTCGAAGATGGTCTCGGCTGGCCTGAAGCCACTGATCTTGGCCATCATATCATTGCGAGCCTGTTGGGCGTTGTTGGCGGCGGCGCCGAATAGCGGATGTAGCTGGTTCCAGCCCTCGGAGCCCACAATCTCGCGAGCGCGCTTTGCGCTCTCGTAGGAAGCCGAGTGTCGTGTCTTGAGATAGAGCTTCTCGGCCTTGACGGAGACACTGCGAAGAGCTTCGATGTCGGACTCCTCCTTCAAGATCTTGTTCATCCACTCCATGTTCATCTCAATCCTGTCACGTGAAAGTCCACCGACGACGACGTCCTCGGCGAAGGACGGCTTCTCGCTTTCATGACCTATGACAAGCTTACGACCGAGGAAGAGCTGCAGATCCAGCAGGTAGGGAGTATCGAGTTCGCGGACAATGCTGTAGGCCCAACCTCTTTGACCGGCACGGGCCGTACGACCGACACGGTGAACAAAGACCTTGGGCTGAGGGGGGAAGTCGTAGTTGATAACATTGGCCAGGACGGGGATATCGATACCTCTGGCAGCGACATCGGTGACTACCAGGATATTTGCGCGACCCTGACGGAAGTTTTCGGTGTTGATACGACGCGCCTCTTGATCCAAGGAGCCATAGACGTATGAGACCGCAAAACCGGCCTTGATAAGCATTTGCGCCAGATACTCGACGTGGTGCTTGGTGGCAGCGAAGATAATGGTAGAGTGTTCTGTTGGCTTTCCCCTTCCGTCACCCTCGCTGCGCTTCCGCTTCTTCGACGGCGCAATATCCAAGGGAACTCCATCGGGCGTGCCCATTGGCATCTTGATGATGTCGTGCAAGATATGCAACAAAGCCGCCTCCTTCTCGGCACCCTTGACAGAGAAGAATGCGCTTTCGAGATCCGGGGAAACCTTGGTCTCGGCGTCCAATCTTACTAGACTCGGGTCCTGCAGACCGGCTCTGGCAAACTCCACCAAAGACGCTGGCAGCGTGGCAGAGAACAGCAGACTTTGCCTCGACGGCGGGAGGGCGTGAAGAATCTCGGTGAGCTGGGCAGCGAAACCCATTTCGAACAGACGATCAGCCTCGTCAAAGACCACATACTTGATCGAAGACAGGTCCAGACCCATCTCAACCTTCAAATGCAGGAAACGACCAGGGGTCGCAATGACAATATCCGGGTTCGAGGACATGAAGCCGAACTGCTCCTCCATGCTGTCACCACCGACAAGCAACACACACTTCAGATCCGTGCCCTTGCTGAACTCCTTGACAACCTTCAACGTCTGCAGCGCCAATTCACGGGACGGCGACAGAATCAGCGCGCGGGTGCCGATCTTTGCGCTGTGGGCGCGCAGACGCTCGATCATGGGGATGACGAAGGCGGCCGTCTTTCCGGAACCCGTTCGCGCCATACCGACGACATCTTTGCGGTCGAGGATGATGGGGATCGTCTTTCGCTGAATCGGCGTGGGGACGGAGAATCCCTTCTTCGTGATCGCGCGGAGGAGGTTTGCGTTGAGACCTTGAGAACTAGTTAGCTTGGCCGAAGATGCTGGTTTCATGCAATGCCTGACATACCCATGGCCTGGAAACCACCGCCCTTCTTCACAGACTTTCCCTTCAGATTGGAGCTCTTTCGGAACGAAGCTGCCTGCTGCAGCGCAATGAAGGCGGCGTCGCCATCCTCTTCGCCCTCATCCTCGCCCCCTCCGTTCAAGATCCCGTCAAAGTCGAAGCCCGCATCCTGTCCGCCTTCGCTTCCGCTGTCGTCGGCATTGGTGTTGAAGAGGGCGTCGGCAATGTCGACTTCGCCGTCGGACGGAGTCGGTGATACTGCGCGACGGGGCATTCTGACAGATATGCGACAAGCTGGTTTCGTGGAAAGACTCTTGTCGACAACTGGGCCCTTGTCCTGTCGTGTTGGAAGAAACGCCGGTTTGGAGACGCCTCCAAAAAAGTCCCAAGAGCTGGCGGGCGAGACCCATCGAAAAATTTCTTATCGCTATCCAGTGTCTTATCTTAGCGTTCGTGGGGCGCCAAATAGACAGGGATACACAGTGGGTCCGGGCGTGTGTGGCTGCTGCGCACGCGGGCAGCCTCGTGCCCTTCGAACCTCCCTCAACCTCTGCAGGTCTCACACCTACACAAACCGCCGTAGCTTTCCAAGTTTTCCGTATTGAAAGTTTTGATAACGAGCTCTGCGCATCTACACCATGGCCAGTGAAGACGTCAAAGAGGAGAAGGATGCCCTCGACGCGCTCGAGTTAGAGGCGAAGGAGTTCGACAAGGTACGTCAACCCGCAAACGGAACCCATCCCTCTCGATATCTCGGAGCATAGCTAACTGACCCCTTTTCCAGGATGCCGAAATCGACAGAATCCTCAAGGCCTTCAGGTTAGACGCCTACGCCGTCCTCGACCTGCAGCCCGGCGTGCCCGAGTCCGACATCAAGATCTGCTACCGCAAGAAGTCGCTCCTCATCCATCCGGACAAGACCAAGAACCCGCTGGCGCCCGACGCCTTCGACCGGCTGAAGAAGGCGCAGACGGAGCTGATGGACGAGAAGCACCGCGAGCGCCTCGACGAGGCCATCGCGGACGCGCGCATGCTCCTCATCCGCGAGAACAAGTGGACCGTCGACAGCCCCGAGCTCAAGACGGACGAGTTCGCCAAGAAGTGGCGCGACAAGACGCGCGAGGTGCTCATCGACAACGAGCACCGCCGGCGGCGGCAGGTGAAGGCGCAGATGCAGGAGGAGGGCCGCGAGCAGAAGAAGCAGGACGAGGAGACCGAGCAGCGCAAGCGCAAGAGGCAGCACGAGCAGGACTGGGAGGCCACGCGGGACCAGCGCATCGACAGCTGGCGGAGCTTTCAGAAGGGCAAGTCCGGGGACGGGAAGAAGAAGAAGAAGATGAAGCCCATCGGTTGATTGTGGAAGTTTGGTTGGGGATTCCATTTCTGTTTTTTTCCGCCGCCTAAAATGGGCAGGCAGCTGGGAGGTGTTTATGGGGGTTTGGAGGGATAATTCCATTATAACTACACAGGTCTCGGCTTACGGATACACGATCACACACAAGCATGGCACGGTTTACATCAAGAGAGCCAGTGAGTTTATGATTGACCATCGCGGTTATGTCCCTAACTATGTCAGAAGTGCAATGCCCATGTTCCCAAAAAACTTTTCATTCGCTGTTTGCGAGGCGCATCTAGCCAGGTAAGCACACCCCCCTTTTCTTCCTCATCACGTCGTGGTATGCTCGCATTATGATCCTAAAAAAACATGAACTTTTGATGCACTTTGCCTCTATGCCATCCCTGTACTATCACCGGCAGGTCCAATTCAAGGCTGGTGCTTCTTCTTGTACGAGAGGAAACGCGCGAGGTTGAGAACAACCTCGTCCGCGCGCGAGCGGAGCTCGGGAAGCGTCCTCTTGTCGATCGTCTTGACAAGGGCCTTGACCTTGGGCTGGGCCGCCTCAAGATGCTGCAGGAAGCCGTCCTTCCAGAAGACCTCCTTGTCGCATGCAAAGTCCTCGTCGCCGTAGATGTCGAAAAGCTGGTTGAGCGCCTCGACCGCGTCGGCGGCCGGGGTCTCGGGCAGAGCCGTGATGACCGTGATGAGGAAGACGCCGATCTCGCGGTTGAGCTCGACGGGGGCGGGGTCCCGCGCGAGCTGGCCCAGCACGCCGATGCACTTCACTCCCAGACCCTGGAAAGGGTCCTCGGGCTCTTCGTCCTTGGCCTTCTCGCCGTTTGCTGCTCCGTTCGCTCCCTTCTTGGGCAAGCTCTTGGTGGCATGGTAGAGCGCCATGAACTTCTTGTGCTCGTCGCCGGTGAGGGGCGCGCGGCCGGGCAGGCTGCGTGAGACGGCCCAGGCGAGGCTGGTGACCTGGGTGGCGAGGTCGACGTCGGCGGTGTTGGCGGCGAGGATGGGGACGATGACCTTGCCCCAGACGGCCTTGCCGGAGGGCGTCCACGCCTTGAGGATGCCGGCGTTGTGGTCGTCGGCGAAGTCGAAGACGGAGATGGACCAGGCGATGTTGTTCAGGGCGGACAGCGCGTGGCCCTGGATTCGGAGGGCGTCGTCGGACTGTGCGGCGGTGGTCGCGAGCTCGATGAGTCTCGGGATGGCTTGTTGGATGAGTTCGCGGAGCGTGGGGAAGTCGTCCATGTTCGCCTCGCCCTCGACCTCGTCGTCGGCGCCGGTCACCATCTCCATGTCGGCCATGTCGTCCTCGTCCATTGAGGAGTCGTCGTCGTCGCCGCCGACGTTGTCTTCCTCCCCTGAAGCCTTGTCGTCGATGTCCTCCTCCATGGCGGTGTCGTCTCCAATTCCGTTCCATTCCTCGCCTCCCTTCTTGTTGCCGCCCTGCATGGATACTTGGAGGGTGGTGCCAATGTCGGCTAGGATTTCCAGTGCGAGCTGGAGGACCTCGGTCGGGTTGGACCATTGGCTCTTGGGTGGCAAGTCAGCTGCCGGCTCGGAGCCCTGGAGTGCCGATGACAGAGTCGGGATGAGTGCGGCGTCGGAGAGGTTTTTCTGACCCGGTGTGCTGTCGAACCACTCCAAAGTTGTGAAGATGTTGTGCAGAACACCACAAGCCAGGACGCCCTTGGCATCGGCAGTGGCTTGCAACTTCGTTAGGGTCGTGAGGGGCTTGGGGTTCTCGTCGGCCACGACATCCTCAGCCAGACGACGGTTGTCCTCAGATAAGGTAAGGAGAGCAGCCAGCGCCTCGAGGCAGATGCTTGACGGTGAGTCGGCGTGAGCTACAAGAGTGAAAAGGAGGTTCTTGATGCCCTCGATTCCCACAATGGCCTCGAGGATCTCATCCTGAGCCTCGGCGAGGGCAGACAGGAGTGCGACGACGGACTCAGCAATGGCCCATGTAACCTTGGCCTCGCCCTTGCTCACAGCGGAGCCCTTGGCCAGGTTCTCCAGGATCTGATGAATGTTAACCAAAGAACTCACTTGAGGATTATGCGAATGGGAATGGGGACTAACAGCCTGAGAGGCAAAGCCGATGGCACTGAGGACATCCAGGCGGTACAGGTGAATACAAAAGTCGGCCTCTTCCTCCTCGGCAATGACCCTCAAAATGTCCCAGCCAGCGGCGCGGCTGTCGAGGTTTGCGTCGGTCAGCGTCTCATTGAGGACGATGTGGACGATCTGCTCGCGCAGCAGCAGCTTCCGGCACTTTTCGTCGGTGACGATGTTGGAGACGGCGGCGGCGGCGGCGGTGCGGGACTTTGGGTCGGAGCTCTTGAGGTCCTTGATGACGGGCAGAATGGACTTTTCCCTGAGGGCGGCCAGCTCGGGGTCAGAGGGCGGCTTGACGGTTTTGGCGATGGGGTCCTTGCGATGGCCCTGGCCGCCTCTGTTTCGTCTGGACTTTCCCATTGTGGCGGGGTTTATGGGTGAATAAGTAGCTTGAGACAATGATTAAAATGAATGAGTGACCTATGAGGTGAAAAATATGAGACTTTAGCTGAAAGTGAGGGGCGTTATTTGTGTTGGAATTTCTTCGTGACCGACCTCTAAAAGTCGCCCCGCGATTGCGCTTCAGAAGAAAAAAAAAAATTAGAAAACGGTTGCTCGGGGCAGCCACATTGTGGCTCGAGAGGCGCCCCGCATCGTGGTGCACCACCACACCGGTGACATTGCAACGCCTCACTGAAGGAAACGTGGGCGCACAGCTGTCGGGCCGGACTGAGAAGTACCTTTCCCCACTAGTCATTAAGCTGTACCACGCTAAATTCAGGAACGGTACTTTGGCCCAGGTCAAGTCCCCTCCAGCTCCTTGCTGTTTTACACCACCGCAGTACAAGCTCATCAGTCCGTCTCTTCAATTCATGATTCGAGTGACACAACTTACTGCGACAAACTGCACGGCTTTCTTCGCCAACAAGCAACACCGCTGCGAGGCCACTGCTCTCCGTTGCCATTTTTGGACGATCTGACCGGCCATTGTCCAAGCCGGACGGACACCTCACTCGATCCTTCAACGGCACCCAGGTCCCGCGCGTCCGTACCCCGGATCCTTTGCAGAACAGCAGAACAGGGCCCTTGGAAACGCCACCTTTCTCCAACTCTGCACGACGGGGCCAGCTTCTCCTCAGCAAGCCGTGTTTCCTCGCGCATGAACCACGTCGCTGATCGCCGCCTCTGGAGCTCTCATCGCAATCGAAGCTCCCCCTTCCCGAGGTCCCGTCTCCCCGTTGCGGTCCGGCCAAGCTCCACAGATCCACCGTCCGACACTTGAACCCACAAAGCTGCAGCACGACACCCGCTTGCACAGCCCAGCAGCAGGGACGCCGGCGCAAGGAGCAAGGGAAAAGCAACCCTGGCCAGACGAGACGCACTTTCAGGTCAGGGACACGCTACTGCGCAATAAGGTGCGCAATTGCCGGCACCAGGGAACCGCCCGTCACAGTCACAGGTCGGGCAGGTCCAGTCCAGGTCGGAGCAGAGGGAAGGGCGAAGGGACCACTTGTTGTTTCGTTCCACACACCTTTTACCTGGCCAAGTCCAAGTCCACGTCAAGTCGAGTCGACGTACGTCCTGACTTGTCCTCTTGCTCGGAGCTCGACATCCAGCTAGCTGCATCTACGAATCCGTTGACGGGAAGATGTGAGACGCCCAACCAACCCTCGGATCACCTCGTCCCCTCCCTTGCAGCTGCACCACCAGTCATTACAGTCGCCCTGTCATCGACGCTTTGCTGTCACTTCTCTTCTGCCTTCTTCCTTTCTTGCCTTCTTCTTTCCCTCCCCTGCTGTGCTGCAGTTCCGCCTCCCAGATAGAGAAGCATGCCGGAACCATGGCGACAACTGCGCTCCCTCGTGTTCCTCAGCGATGAAGAGATGGGCAAGAAGGACGACGACCACTACCGCGGCGGCAGCAGCAACGTGAACCCCATGCTGCTTCGAAACAGAAATACCCAATGGCAGCCGGCCGCCAAGATGCCATCCCGCCGTCTATTCCGACGCCTCGCCTACCTCTTCCTAATCGCCGCTGGTATCTGGTACTTCCTCGGCGACCTTTCCTTCGCCGAACGACGCCCCAACTACATCTACCCGTATACCGACGGCCCCCGAGACTACATCCCCTCCCCGATCCGCGATGGTCCTCCTCGGAGGAGCGGCGGCGGTCGCAAGGCCAAGCCTGGAACGCCCATGCCCCCGATCGCCGAACACGACTACAACGGCCCGGTCAAGTTCCACCGTCTGGCGTCTTCGCTGCACGCAATCGCTGCGACTAAGGGCGGACAGACGATCAACCAGAACGTGCTTTTTGCGGCATCGAGTCTGCACAGCGCGTCGACGTTGCTGCCATTCGCCTGCAAGATGGGCATGGAGCTGAGGAACTACGTGCACTTTGCGGTTATGGGACGGAGTGAGCTCGAGCTCGACGAGATCAAGAAGATCAACGGAATAGACGACAGCTGCTACATCATCTGGCACGATGCCCGCGCCGACTTCTCCTCCCTTTCGACCGACGCCCGCCTAGAGCTGTCCGTCGTCCGCGGACTTCGAAACATCAATACCTTTATGCACCCGCAGGCGATCATGGTGGATGGCACCGACGACGAGCTCTTCCCGTTCCTGAAGGGCATGCGACAAGAGGCCGGTGCGCTGAAGATCCCGCTGATCGAGCTTCCCAAGGAGGCGTCTAAGCAGCTCTGGTGGTTGTCGAAGCTCGATAGTCCGTCGCTCGCAGCTTGGAACAAGGTCAGCGTCGATATTCTCATCCAAGCCCCGGCCAGCGGCTCCGGCAGCCTGCTGCGACTGCTGAGGTCACTGAACGAGGTCGATTTTACCGCTTTCACGATCCCCCACCTTACCATCGAGCTGCCGCAAGACATTGAGCCCGCAACGGCCAAGTTCCTCGAGGATTTCCACTGGCCGCCCTCGCACGTGGCAAACCCCGGCAGGACGCAGATGTTGTCACTGAGACATAGGATACCGCGGCAGCGGATGACGGAAGAGGAGAGCTCCATCCGGTTTCTAGAGTCGTTCTGGCCAACGACGCCTAGGTTTTCTCATATTCTTGTTCTCTCACCGCAGGCGGAGTTGGCACCTGGTTTCTTTCATTGTGAGTTACTTGTGCTTGCGTTTGGGTTACCTAACTGACTGGCCCTAGATCTGAAATACTCTCTTCTGGAGTACCGCTACTCCGGATACTCGGTAGTCCAGAAATGGGACCAACGTCTCCTCGGCATCAGTCTGACCGCCCCGTCAGTCTACTTGAATGGCAAGAAGGCGTTTGTGGAGCCAATTTCTGATGGCCCAGACGAGATGGGCACCTCCTACATGTGGCAGGCGCCCAGCAGCAACGCCATGCTAATATTCGGCGAGAAGTGGGTCGAGCTTCACGGTCTGGTATCTCAGGTGGACGCGTTGAAGAGCTCGCGCGCTCCTGAGAAGATTCCAGAGATGGTGACCACCAAGGAAGTCAGCAAGATGTTCCCCTCTTGGCTGGAACACGTCTTGCGGCTGTCGCGATTGCGAGGTTACTTCACGGTCTATCCCAGCGCCGAGACGGGCGCCACAGTAGCCAAGGTACACAACGAGCTGTACCGGGGCCCCGAAGAGTACGAAATGGAGGCCGACGAGCGAAAGAAGCTCAGGGCGAATCTGGCAGAGTCAATGCACACCTCCGAGTCGCTCGTGCGCACGCTGGACACCCTCCCGAACAACGGCACCCTTACCCCCTGCAAGGATCTGCCGATGCTTGGCTGGGAGGGCGATAGCATGGGCCTGAGGGACGTGTATCAGCGCGCGGTGGAGTACATGTTTGCATGGCGCGAGGTCGTCGGCGGGTGCAACGCGGAAGCGAAGCAGAGCGATCACATTGACGGTTCCGCGAGGGACCTGTTCTGCACGCCTGACGGCAAGCTGAAGGGTTAAGAAAAGAAAGAAGAATGCGCAAGACGCAGGCCGTGTGTATTTCACATATATAGACTGCATTTCGATATATACCCACGGGGGATGGATAAAACACATCAGCAAGGACTGATGCGCGGCGCGAGCAAAAGACTGGGGTTGGCATTGGGAAGCATAATAGGCGCTAGGAGAAAAAAAGAACTTTTTGAATTAACTGTTTCTCTATTTTCACAAAATATGCGATGTAGTGAAGTCTGACTTCAGCGTGTTGTCTGAGGTGTTTTTGTCATTGCTGGCGAGCTTGGTGATGACCAGGAGGACTATGCACGTGCCCACGATGCTCAGGGCCACGAAGGAGAGGACGAGCTGTGTTCTCCAGCCGGTCTGCACGATGGCTGCTTTGCGGCTGTATTTGTTTACCGTTTCTGATGATTTGGTCAGTTTTGGTCCCGTCATTTGGGGTGAGGGACGGTTGATGTGAAGAAAACGAAGAGGGAGCGACAGAGAGATAGAGAGTGTGTGTGTGAGAGACGGGGAGAGAGAAAGAGGAAGGAAACTGACTAATGTAGTTTCCTATGCCGAGACACAGGCACGAGACGGCGAGGCACCAGAAGATGACGCCGAGCGGCTTTGCCATGCGCAGCTCGAGATCGCTGGGCTCTGATTTGAGGTGGAAGGAGAGGACGATTGCGACGGAGACGATGGACATGTAGACTGAGAGGCGGAGGTACGAGAGGAATGCTGTGAGGTTTTGTCAGTTTGGGTCACCAAAAAGTTGAGGACTTGAGGCCATGAAAAACATGAAGAGGCGGAAAAGCGGATTGGGATGAAGGGGGGGTTACTTCTCTCATTCGCGCAGTGGTCCCGCGCGTCGCTGGACTCATTCTGGAAAAGCAGCGGGCCGAGGATGGGCCAGGCGAGGAATGTTGAGGTGCCTGCGTGGCCGTAGCCGCTGTGGTGGGAAGTCTTGGTTAGCCTGGTGTTCGGAGCGTGGCTTCATGTCTGTGGTGTGGTTGAACATTTTCGCAAGAGTTTCTTGAGATGACGTCGCGGGGGAGGTGTCATGGGATGAACGCGGGCTGGAGAGGACTTGGACGTACCCGATCTCGCCGACCTCGACCGGCCGCAGGAGGCTTAAGGGCCGGAGGGGCGCGCAGCAGGTGAAGGTGAGGTCTTCGTCGTCTATGTGCGCTGCGGACATCTTGAAGGAATGGGGATTTCAGTGTTTGCGATGGTGGTGGGCTGAGGGAATGAAGCCCGTTGAAGGTTCAAGTGAAGAGAATCTTGGGAGGAAAATCATGGTGCTGGATTTGGTCACAAGCGCCATGTATGAGGTGATTTGAGCACTGTGTAGACCCGGGTGAACTTGGGGGAGACGAAGCATGTGCGGGCGGGGGATGGGCACTGTGCGGCTGTCGCGGTTTGAGGACGGCGACCTTCGGTTTCGGCCCCACTTTATTCGGGCGGGAAGGGACTCTACCATCGCTCTCGTCTACGGCAGGAGTTCTCGCAGCC